GGTAGGACGTTTGATGTACGTGTGGGGTTGAACGTGATCTACGTGTGGGGTTGAACGTTTGATCTACGTGCGGGGTTAAAAGTTTGATCTACGTGTGGGGTCAAACGTTTTGGGTTTGAACGTTTGATGTACGTGTGGGGTTGAACGTGATCTACGTGTGGGGTTGAACGTTTGATCTACGTGCGGGGTTAAAAGTTTGATCTACGTGTGGGGTTAAACGTTTGATCTACGTGTGGGGTTGAACGTTTGATGTACAATGTGCGTGTGGGGTTGAACGTTTGATGTACGTGTAGGGTTGGACGTTTGATGTACGTGTGAGGTTGGACGTTTGATGTACGTGTGGAGTTAGACGTTTGATGTACGTCTGGGGTTAGACGTTTGATGTACGTGTGGAGTTAGACGTTTGATGTACGTCTGGGGTTAGACGTTTGATGTACGTGTGGAGTTAGACGTTTGATGTACGTCTGGGGTTAGACGTTTGATGTACGTGTGGAGTTGCACGTTTGATGTACAATGTACGTGTGGGGTTAGACGTTTGATGTTCGTGTGGGGTTGGCCGTTTGATGTACGTGTGGGGTTAGACGTTTGATGTGCGTGTGGGGTAAGACGTTTGATGTACGTGTGGGGTTGCCCTTTTAATGTTCGTGTGGGGTTGAACGTTTGATGTACGTGTTTCGTTGAACGTTTGATGTACGTGTGGGGTTGAACGTGATCTACGTGTGGGGTTGAACGTTTGATCTACGTGCGGGGTTAAAAGTTTGATCTACGTGTGGGGTCAAACGTTTTGGGTTTGAACGTTTGATGTACGTGTGGGGTTGAAAATTTGATGTACGTGTTTGGTTGAACGTTTGATGTACGTGTGGGGTTAAACGTTTCATCTGCGTGTGGGGTTGAACGTTTTATGTACGTGTAGTTTTGGACGCTTGATGTACGTGTGGGGTTGCACTTTTGATATACGTGTGGGGTTGAACGTTTGATCTACGTGTGGGGTTAAACGTTTGATCTACGTGTGGGGTTGAACGTTTGATGTACAATGTGCGTGTGGGGTTGAACGTTTGATGTACGTGTGGGGTTGAACTGTTGATGTACGTTTGGGGGTAGGACGTTTGATGTACGTGTGGGGTTGGCCGTTTGATGTACGTGTGGGGTTAGACGTTTGATGTACGTGTGGGGTAAGACGTTTGATGTACGTGTGGGGTTGCACTTTTAATGTTCGTGTGGGGTTGAACGTTTGATGTACGTGTGGGGTTGGACGTTTGATGTACGTGTGGAGTTGGACGTTTGATGTACAATGTACGTGTGGGGTTAGACGTTTGATGTACGTGTGGGGTTGGACGCTTGATGTACGTGTGGGGTTGGACGTTTGATGTACGTGTAGGGTTGGACGTTTGATGTACGTGTTGGGTTGTACGTTTGATATACGTGGGGGTTGAATGTTTGTAGTACGTGTGGGGTTGAACGTTTGATGTACGTGGGGGTTGAACGTTTGATCTACGTGTGGGGTTAAACGTTTGATCTACGTGTGGGGTTGAACGTTTGATGTACGTGTGGAGTTAGACGTTTGATGTACGTGTGGGGTTGAACGTTTGAGCTACGTGTGGGGTTAAACGTTTGATCTACGTGTGGGGTTAAACGTTTTACGTACAATGTACGTGTTGGGTTGGACGTTTGATGTACGTGTGGGGTTAACCGTTTACTGTACGTGTTGGGTTGGACGTTTGATGTACGTGTGGGGTTAAACGTTTGATCTGCGTGTGGGGTTGAACGTTTTATGTACGTGTAGTTTTGGACGCTTGATGTACGTGTGGGGTTGCACTTTTGATGTACGTGTGGGGTTGAACGTTTGATGTACGTGTGGGGTTAAACGTTTGATGTACGTGTGGGGTTGGACGCTTGATGTACGTGTGGGGTTGGACGTTTGATGTACGTGTGGGGTTGGACGTTTGATGTACGTGTGGGGTTGAACGTTTGATGTACGTGTGGAGTTGGACGTTTGATGTACGTGTGGGGTTGAATGTTTGATGTACGTGTGGGGTTAAAGTTTGATGTACGTGTGGAGTTGGACGTTTGATGTACGTGTGGGGTTGCACTTTTGATGTACGTGTGGGGTTAAACGTTTGATGTACGTGTGGGGTTGAACGTTTGATGTACAATGTACGTGTGGGGTTAAACGTTTGATGTACGTTTGGGGTTGAACGTTTGATCTACGTGTGGGGTTGGACGTTTGATGTACGTGTGGGGTTGAACGTTTGATCTACGTGTGGGGTTAAAAGTTTGATCTACGTGTGGGGTTAAACGTTTGATCTACGTGTGGGGTTAAACGTTTTATGTACAANTGTCCTATCATATTAAATTGTTACCGTGCAGGTCGTGTTCCATCATTTTAATTTGTTACCGTGCAGGTCGTGTCCTATCATATTAAAATGTTACCGTGCAGGTCGTGTCCTATCATATTAAATTGTTACCGTGCAGGTCGTGTCCTATCATTTTAAATCGTTACCGTGTAGGTCGTGTCCTATCATATTAAATTGTTACCGTGCAGGTCGTGTCCCGTCATTTTAATTTGTTACCGTGCAGGTCGTGTCCTATCATTTTAAATCGTTATCGTGCAGGTCGTGTCCTAGCATATTAATTTGTTACCGTGTAGGTCGTGTCCTATCAGGACGCTTGATGTACGTGTGGCGTTGGACGTTTGATGTACGTGTAGGGTTGGACGCTTGATGTACGTGTGGGGTTGGACGTTTGATGCACGTTTGGGGTTGGACGTTTGATGTACGTGTGGGGTTGGACGCTTGATGTACGTGTGGGGTTGAGCGTTTGATGTACGTGTGAGGTTGAACGTTTAATGTAGGTGTGGGGTTGGACGTTTGATGCACGTTTGGGGTTGAACGTTTGATGTACGAGTGAGGTTGAACGTTTAATGTAGGTGTGGGGTTGGACGTTTGATGAACGTGTGGGGTTAGACATATGATGTACGTGTGGGGTTGGACGTTTGATGTACGTGTGGGGTAGGACGTTTGATGTACGGGTGGGGTTGGCCGTTTGATGTACGTGTGGGGTCTGACGTTTGATGTACGTGTGGGGTTGGACGTTTGATGTACGTGTGTGGTTGAACGTTTGATGTACAATATACGTGTGGGGTTAAACGCTTGATGTACGTGTGGGGTTGAACGTTTGATGTACGTTTAGGGGTTGAACTTTTGATGTACTGGTAAATGTCATGTGGTAGCCAGGTTAAACAATTGATGTACTTGTTTTTTAAATTCCAAATTATTTTAGATGTTGAAGTTAAGAATAAATTGAGATCGCCTTTTTTATGCAAATTGATTCGCCTATCCGTTAAAATTGCCAAATCATGGTTCAAGGCTTAAATTTTGTAACGATTAGAACTTTGTACTCACTGTTCTGCACGATCTTTGTGCCTTTGCCTAGAACTAATCAAAATGTACGTCACTTGATAATGGGTCGTGTCCCATCATTTTAAATTGTTACCGTATAGGTCGTGTCCTATCATATTAAATTGTTACCGTGTCGGTCGTGTCCTATCATATCAAATTGTTACCGTGCAGGTCGTGTCCCATCATTTTAATTTGTTTACGTGCAGGTCGTGTTCTATCATATTAATTTGTTACCGTGCAGGTCGTGTCCTATCATATTAATTTGTTACCGTGCAGGTCGTGTCCTATCATATTAAATTGTTACCGTGTAGGTCGTGTCCCATCATATTAAATCGTTACCGTGCCGGTCGTGTCCTATCATTTTAATTTGTTACCGTGCAGGTCGTGTCCCATCATATTAAATTGTTACCGTACCGGTCGTGTCCTATCATATTAAATTGTTACCGTGTCGGTCGTGTCCTATCATATTAAATTGTTACCGTGCCGGTCGTGTCCTATCATTTTAATTTGTTACCGTGCAGGTCGTGTCCCGTCCTATCAATTTAATTTGTTACCGTGCAGGTCGTGTCCTATCATTTTACATTGTTACCGTGCAGGTCGTGTCCTATCATATTAATTTGTTACCGTGCAGGTCGTGTCCTATCATTTTAATTTGTTTACGTGCAGGTCGTGTCCTATCATATTTATTTGTTACCGTGCAGGTCGTGTCCTATCATTTTAATTTGTTTACGTGCAGGTCGTGTCCTATCATATTTATTTGTTACCGTGCAGGTCGTGTCCTATCATTTTAATTTGTTTACGTGCAGGTCGTGTCCTATCATATTTATTTGTTACCGTGCAGGTCGTGTCCTATCATATTAATTTGTTACCGTGCAGGTCGTGTCCTATCGTATTAAATTGTTACCGTGCAGTTCGTGTCCCATCATTTTAATTTGTTTACGTGCAGGTCGTGTCCTATCATATTAATTTGTTACCGTGCCGGTCGTGTCCTATCATATCAAATTGTTACCGTGCAGGTCGTTTCCCATCATTTTAATTTGTTTACGTGCAGGTCGTGACCTATCATATTAAATTGTTACCGTGCAGGTCGTGTCCTGTAATTTTAAATTGTTACCGTGCAGGTCGTGTCCTATCATTTTAAATTGTTACAGTGCAGGTCGTGTCCTATCATATTAAATAGTTACCGTGCAGGTCGTGTCCTATAATTTTAAATTGTTACCGTGCAGGTCGTGTCCTATCATATCATTTTGTTACCGTGCAGGTCGTGTCCTATACTTTTAAATTGTTACCTTGCAGGTGAGGGGGGATATGCCTGCTGTATCAAGCTGCATGGTCAAATAAGTCAACTTCAGTGCAGTGTCCAGCAGATTCGGTTGTTTTACATGCATTTGATTCTGAAGAGATAATGGAGAAACAAAATTTAATTTAGCTTCCTCCCTCATAGCAAAACTTGAGATCTCTACCTTTTTCTTTTCGCTGGTTTGGGGGTGGTTCCCAATGTACAATTTGTTACTCTGTTTAGCCCTTTTTGTCAGAGTCACGTGACCATGGTAATACTTATACCTTAGCTGTAACGAACATATGAATGGCTTTTTTTTGTAGTACTCCAGTTGACTAGACTTCGCGAAATGTTGTCTGAACCGATTGCTGCAAAGGGCGAGGCGTTTCCAAACATCACCGGTCCGAAATCTTTCGACTCAAAGATAGCCATCTTGGGGGCAGAACCAGCTGGCATACACATGGCCTATAAATTGAAGGTTTGCTACAGGAAGTGACGTTACGACAAATGCCAAGTTGTGCAAAGCATGTTCAGTTTAATGAGCCATGACTTTTAATTTTCAAATCGATATAATTTGGATATATTTAACATTTCTATATTCGTGCATTAAAATACATCAACGGATTGGATTGATTTGCTATCCATGTACATAAAACTTTAGTGTAAGGAAATTTAATTGTTCTTCCATTATGTAAAATGAAGTTGTAATGACAAGCTAAGCATGCTTCAATCAATAGAAACAGGTGAATACCTTTATTTTTGCTACTTGAACGTAAATGTATAACTATGACGATTGATTAAGAATTTTACATTTTATAAACAAATTACAAAATATAGAATAATGGTATCTTACTATGAAGCAATCTTATTATTACAAGTAAATATGTATTAAAACACATCCACTCATTTAATAGTAATATATCCAGGGGTTACGTTCACTTTCGCTCTCTGCACCCCTGGAATATGTCATAGTAAAATTGAAGGCTCAGGGTGCGCCACCTTGTTGATGAGACAAGAAGGCTAGTTTGATCCTTTGATATACATCAAAATAATATCTCAATCACGTAACGTTAAAAATTGACAGGCTTTGAAGTCGGGCGTCTCTCCTTTGTAATCTTCAAAGGACAGGTATCAGCCTAGCGATTGGTCAGTTTTTTTACCTGAGACCAATTAAACATCTAGGTATAGAGAGCGAAAGTGAGCGTAACCCCAAGATATCGAGGATGGTTATACACCGGGGCCCGTATTCATGAACCGTTTTCATACCAGAGCATGATTTCTGTGCTCAAGCCGTCTTTCTTGTAACTATGTTACACGGTCAAAAAGTCACGTGTAAACACTGAAAACAGTGCTCGGCTCAATGTCATTCCAAACTCCTTACAAATCATTGATGAAATATGGTTATTTTTAGAAATGTGAACGGTTTCATGAATACGGGCTAGTGAGTTTGGCCATTCACCAAATGGGTGTAATTCCTAACATTAACATGTCATCCAGTATACAAAGTGGTCAATCGGGAACCGTCGGCACTTTCCGGACTGGGGAAAGTGCCGACGGTCCTAAATTCTAAAGCTACACAATTGATCTTTTGCTTTGATTTTGAAACGAAATTGTATCTTTCAATCGAAAACAATATTTCTTGGAATCATTCGAACTTCGATCTTTGAGTTGTTGTTTCGTAGTCCTATCTACTTTTAGTATAGCACTTCGAGTACGTTATGTACTATTTGTCAATTTAGAAATGATTTAATGGAGAAAAAAAACACTATACACAGGACATCGTATTTGTTAATTGTCAGAGTGACAATCACCATATAATATTGTTTTCCTCTCTCATAGAAACTCGGTTATACGAATGTGGTAGTTTTGGAGCCTGAGGATCGGATAGGCGGAGATTCATTGACAGTCTATCACAGAGGAGTCCGACACGAACTGGGCGTTGGTCACTTCCGCGTTGAGAACACAGACATCCTGTCAATTATACAGGACTTTAGGATGGGTCCAGTCCAGCCCATAGGGGACGTTTCTGTGTGGCCTGATAGTGACCGTATGTATATGTAGACTAGGGGTACTCGGCTGGGTTTTATCGTCAATCCACGTTTATTGTGTAACGTTGACTGTGCATACAATTGTGCACTGAACATTCCAATACACTGGCATCAAATTGACTTGTTAGTTATTAGCCATTTATTCAAGACCGCACATATTTTTGTCCCTTTTTCTTTTCTTCACAAACATATTGAATATGTTGTAAAATAGCAAGGTTTTAGGCTTTGCACTACAATTGATTATATCTCTCACTAAGATAAAACAAGATGTTGTATAACGCCAGAAGATAAGGCCTGTATTCACATAAAACGATATTTTGCTCAAGCATAGATTCTGTTAACAAAACAAAAATACCAAAGCTCGCTTCAATTATAAATACAAGGTAATGGTAAAAAATGTAAGTGCAAACGTTGAAAACAGTGTCTATAGCTTTAATTATCTTTACAGTTTTTTCAAATCATTGATAATTTCTTATTAATTTAATTATAACCGGAACAAGAACTGTAGCTTGAACACAGAATCTGAGTTTGAGCGCAGGAACCGGTTCATGAATACGACTGGTAACGTCGAAAGAACAATTGTAGGTATGTTATACAAACATTACCACACAAAAGTGTTCATCTGTTGTATCGGGTTGAGCTCGGGTGTTGTGTAAATGCATATTTTACACTTTAGTTGAACCCTCGTGAAATATATCGATACACGTTATATATTCGTCCAATCAGAGGCCTCAGGCGTACACACACAAGTGTTTGTGTCGCCGTATTACCTATAACATAGCAATATATATATATATATATATATAGATGTATAAGAATACCTAGCTGGATTTGTAATTGTCGCTTTTTAAGCATTGGAATGCTTTCAGTTGGCATTCATAGGCAATATGAATGGAAATTGGACAAAGGCAAATTCAATTAGCATCATGTTTGAATTGCCTCTGTCTAGTTGGCATTCACATTGCCTATGAAAGTAAAATGAAAGCAATTCTATGCTTACATTTCCAATTTTGGAATCTGTTTATCTCATAGAATTGAATTATGCTTATCATCATTCTGCATTTACTTCTTAAATAATGTAAATAATCGTATAACCTTGAGCAATGAAAATAAAAACAGCTATCAGGCGAGAGAAGATCATTGGTTTCCAACGAAACAATTATGACATCATATTAATGACGACACCAATAATCCGCTGATAACATTCTGTGGTAGGTTTATACAGTGACAATGCCATGCAATGGCAAATCTATTTATATTCAATAAACGTGTTTGTGTGAAGTTAGATTATGATCACATTAATGTTTGGGATGACAAACTTTGGTATTTTTCAGATGCTGAAGACTTATTGCCATACTTACTGTTCGATGCAAACCAAAGATCAAACGATAGCAATCCGTTAACTGCTCTTAACCTGTTGTCCGAAGCCGTCATGACGTATGTCAGGATACATCGACAGATTTTCGGGGACTACGACGGTCTATTGATGCCACGTCCTCTTACACCTGAAATGCAAATGGTTAACGGTACCATTGAAGATTTTCTTAAAAGAAACGATCTCAGTATGTTAGAAACACCGTTCCGAGTATTATACACTGCACAGGGGTACGGAGATATAGATAAAAGGGCAGCGTTGTATGGTTTGATGTATGTCACACCAAAACGATTGCTTAGATTAATAGAATCATTTATAGATCTATCGAATAGGGGTGACACGTACATTCTGGAGCGTGGATTTTCAGCATTGTGGGCGGAAATTGTTAATAAGGCTAATCTTGATGTGAGGGTTAATCGGAACATTTCTTACATTATTAGAACACCTGGGAAGATTAATGTGTTTTATGATGGCACTGCAGAGGCAGAAACCATGGAAGTTTACGATTTTCTTATAGTTGCCAGAGATATGAGTAAAGTTCTGGGCATTGTTGACACCTCCTGGATAGAGCGAGGGATTTTCAGCCATCTTACACCTTCTTTTATGACGTCATCACTGATCGATACCAACTTCGGTCGGCGTGCGCCCATGCCGAGAGCATACTACATGTATAATATCAAATCAAGGGCAAATCACTCTGTTTTGTACCATGAAGATTCTTACAGCATTTTACATAACATCCAGGGAACTAATTACAGTCGCGGACTAATACCAGGGGGATATGACGGTGAAATGTACCAGTCCATAGTAGTTCGGCAATATGGTGACTCATTTCCATCAGAAGACGATATTAAATCTGGTTTCTTAAATCATGCAAATTTATACGGAATAACACACGGTCTTGTACTAGCTAGGAAAACATGGAACTATTTTTCCAAATTTGGACCAGCAGAAATGGCCGCAGGCCTGCTATGGGACATATTCACATTACAGGGACACAAGAACACGTGGTACATAGGGTCGTCTGTCTGTTTTGATTCCTTGAACAATGTCATTGATTATAATAACCTTATCCTCCAACACTTCAACCTCTAGAATGGAACGGAAAACAAATCAAGCTATCATGGATCTTGAGCGTAATTACTAAAAAGTAAACATGTATACCTTTTAAGGCAATAATACTTAACTGACCATATTACCTTTTGATTGTTATGTTTGCCTTAATTTATGTTGCATATTGTATACAGCTATAACTCATGACTTTGTATATATTGTTTGATAAAATATTAATGATTATGACAACTATGACACATCTTCTGTCATGTTTTAGAAATATGATATTCGCGTTGTCAATACAGCAACTGTTCATCATGTCAACAGACAATAAATACAATGTATTGTACCTGTAATTGAATCAACAGTGTTTGTATTCCAAATAACATCGAAAGACATCATTTCAGTAACAAGATACTTTTGCAAAAGTGCATCGGCATTATGAACGCTCTTAAAAGACATTGTCACCAGTTTCATCAAAAGTAATGTGACGGCGAAAAACATCGAAACTTGGAAAAGACGTGTGTTTTTGGAGGAAACGGAGATCATGTCTGCGGAAAGAGAATACATTTTGCTTGCATAAAGGAGGTGTGTGAAAGAAAATGTATCCATCTTTCCAACGGTACTAAGTGTTTTGTTTTTGTACCACAATTAGAAATGTGATTGTTGACGTTAATGGGGGATCGATCTTTCTCGTGTCTACATGTATCATCACTGGGAGTTACACTTTTATCGAAAATTGATGTTAATTCCGAAAACGTGTAAACTTGTTCTGAACTCATATGTAAATGTCAAAATACAGCTGTAATAAATTCGCAGGTCCCTCTGGTAGAATACAATGAAAAGAGTAAAAAATGTCCAATGAAATCATGTTTGCATTGGATTCTACCACTGGGACTTGCGAATGTATTATCTGACATACATTGCTAAACGTACATGTTGGTATATATTGTAACCTGTATTTCGTATCTTTTTAGTAGTTGAACGGTTCTTGATATACACACTTCATTCATTGTAAATTTGACATCACTCAGTCCTACTCTTATATTTATAATCCGTAAAATTAAGTGGTTTTATGTACCAACACATTCGGATACCCTCTTTTTGACCTGCTAGCATCACCGATGAGTGCTAGAAGGACGAAACAGCTGTATGGTGCAGTGTAAGTCCTTTGTTGGCATACTAGATCAATTACCAAATTCCATAGGTACAATCTTCATGTCAATGCCTTATGTTCATCTTATCACAAGGAGTGTCTCGTACAGATTCATGTGTAAATGGCAAGTATGGATATAAGTGCATCTTGATATGTATATGGGACCTGTAGAAGTTTCTAAACATTTTCTTCGGGTTGGTAAATATGGATTATGAAAAGATTCATGTAGCACAACCAAAAAGTGTTTATGTGTGACGTTTCGATGACTAGTACGGTATGTACATATACTCTGTCACCTTCATAAGACAAATGAACATTATGAACAAGTTGTCCACAAATGGATGTCGATTCGGCCACGATGTAAGCGTATGTCCAATTAGTTCTTATATTATAAAGCGTAGCTGAATCGAGTCATTTCGGTACATATATACCAACTAACTGTACATACGCTTACAGCGTAGCCGAATCGACATCGATTTGTGGATAACTCGTACATATTTTACACCTTTATGTACATACGTGTCACTGGTCATTTTTCTGACGAAGGTGACGGAATACATACGGTACTAGCCATCTAAACGTCACATATAAACATGTTTTGGTTGTGTTACATGTACAAGAATCTTTTCATAATGTTTACAGGTAGATTCTGGTTTTGAAATAGGTATTTGATTTTCTTTCTGCTCACCGTTTATAATTGCCTTTACAGTCATTCAGGTAATATTTTCATAATGAAACTTGTACATGTAGTAGCATTATTTATGTATGAGACATGTATTTCTTACCACACGTAGGTATTGAAATGCTTTATTAACGATACAAATGTACACCTGGTTTGTGATAATCCAGCGATTCGTCAAACTGTAAAACATGACAAGTCATGTCACTAAAACCACATGTGCGTGTTCTAATCTTCACCTTTATGTTCTCACCACTGTAGACCGTAATGGACTCGTCAAGATCAATGCATGGTAGAGTCTACTAAAGTTATATAGGGATGAAAGGGTTAAATCACAAGAACATACATATATTACAGGTCTTTACATATAGTGTCTTGTCAGTGACAAGATGTTTCCTGCTTATCAAACGAAACTCTTACGATAGTAAATGTCACGTGCTTCTTAACTAACGCACCAAACTACTATTTGAGGCTCCAATTAAGATGAACGCTTGCTGTATATAAAACTATTTCTATTTGAGTGAGTAACTTTATTTATATATTTGAGCATGAATAAATTTAAAAAAAAAACCTGTTGGAATCGGTGTTTTTCGATTATCTTTATTATGAAATAAAAGATATGTCGCACAATATTGTAGTTCTACTTTTGGAATGAGTCCATACAAATATTATTTCAAAAATCATTTCGCCGCAGATATCAAGCAGATCTATATGCTGTTGACTGCGTTCTTTTTATATATGGAAGTGTAGGCTACGCGAAAGTACTACGTAGATTGCATGCAGTAAACACTTATCCATTTAAATTATTTGTCCCGCTGTGGACGGAAGAGTTTGGAGCACCGCTGCCTATCTTCTAAACATATTTTTTAAGAAAGAATAGTTTTTGAGTCATCTCCCTTTTTATAAAGTTGTTTTTAGACGACCTCCTACACCAATATTTTGAACGTGGTACACATGGTCAGTACCCTAGGGAGCTGTGCGCTTTTGGTTAACTTATTTATTTATTTCATTTCATTATTTTATTTATTTTTTCATTTTTATTACAACAAAAGTTATAGCCTTTTTCTATTTTCCGCTAAGCATATCCGATAAAATTACAACCCTTTTTCTTGCTAAACATTTCCGAAAAACTACTGCTTGATTTGTATGCCGATCTTAATTGAACCTGTGACACATAATCACAATGAAATTTGAAATATTGGTGGTTATATGTGTTATATCTTTCTGTGTGTATATAAGTATATCATTCTCTATTCTGGAACCCTAGACAGATGTTTCCAACCCTTTCCTGGTGTCCGTGTCCCACCTTCGGTGTGAGATGTCCTTGTCACACCTTCGGTGTGAGATTAATAGAATCTTTCACCCCCTTGGGGGTGAGATAGGAGAATCTCAACACGAGGGGGAAAGATTCTTAAAGTGCCAAACACTCGGCACATCCTCGTGTTTGGCAACTTAAGAATTTTCCCCCTCGTGTTGAGATTCTCCTATCTCACCCACAAGGAGTTAAATGATTCTTTTTCTCTTACCCTGTTCTCCCATTTTGTATTATATACACAATGTAATGATAACGTTACATGCTAAATTCAGGGTTGACGTCAGTGACGTTAATGGATTGTTGACGTGACGTCATTGTATTGTTAAAGTGACGTCATGCCATTGTTATGAATAGGGGAATCCCCCAGTCTCGTCTATAACGTATGTAACGTCTATATAAAATACATAAGAGGGTAAACACAGGGTAAGAGAAAAATACTCATTCTCCCGCTTGGGAGTGAGACAGGGTGATATCTACCCTCGGGGTAAGATTCTTCAGCTGTCAAACACTCGGCAAGCCTCGTGTTTGACAACTTAAGAATCTTACCCCGAGGGTTGAGATTACCCTGTCTCACCCCCAAGGGGGTGAAAGATTCTATTTGTCCCACCTTAGGTGTGATATGTCATTGACCCACCTAAGATGTGAGATTATTAGAATATTTCACCCCCTTGGTGGGTGAGACAGGATAATCTCAACCCGAGGGTTTAGATTACCCTGTCTCACTCCCAAGGGGATGAATGATTATTTGTCTCTTACCCTGTTTACCCTTATATTTGATATAGACGTTACATCAATGCAAGACAATGTTGATGTGATGCGGCTGAATTGTCGACGTGACGTCATTGTATTGTTGCCGTGACGTCATGGTATTGTTGCTATGACGTCATACAATTGTTGAGAATGTGCAAAGAACACGTGTAGTTTGTCTCAACGCTAGGGTGAGATAAGAAAATCTCACACCAGTAAAATGGTGGATATCCCTGTCCAGGGTATGAGAAGTTATTGTCCCTCCTTAGGTGTGAGATGCCCTTGCCCAACCTTAGGTGTGAGATGTCCTTGTCCCACCTTATATGTAAGATGTCCTTTGTCCCACCTTAGGTGTGAGATGTCCTTTGATCCACCTTAGGTGTAAGATGTCCTTGACTCACTTCAGGTGTGATATGTCCTTGTCCCATCTTAGGTGTGAGATGTCCCACACGGTTCCCCTATCTCGCCCCAAAGTGGGCCAAATATTATATTCTTCTGACATTTGCATCTACGACATGTTTTTTAATATATTTTTATATATCAAATCTAACCAAAACGTGGGTAGCAATTAAAAGCGGCATGACTTTTTTTTACTACATTAACAAATGATGCAGTCGTATCTCTGTTTGAAGTTTTACTTATTTTATCGGTCTACATGTACGTACTGGAAATTTTAACTGCATTTGTATCCAAGTGTATGATGTACAAAGTGTGAATTTGTTCGGAGATGAAATGGTTACCGGATTTTTTTTTTTTTAGTTTATTTCTATATAAAAGCCACATCCGAGCAACGTCGAAATAAAATAAAATGAAATGTTTGAAGAGAAGCTGAAATGCACTAAACTCCCAGCAAACCAATAACAAACTAGCTGCAAAATACAGTTGTAGTACCCATTATTCGATCGGCCATTCAAAGTGAATGGCAGCAACGATGGTCTCTTGAGACAAGCAACAAACTGTTTAAAGTGCAAGCAAAATGTATCCTTGTCCGCCAAGTCTGAGAGACCGCAAAAAGTATGTTTTCTCCCACTATTCACATGCGTGTATCCCGTTTTAGCCGGAAAAGATCAGCTTTTATCTTACCCTGGACAGGTGTATCCGCATTTTTACCGGTGTGAGATTTCCTTGTCTCACCCTAGGGCTGAGACGGGGGGATTCCCCTATTCCTAACAATGGCATGACGTCACTTTAACAATACAATGACGTCACGTCAACAATCCATCAACGTCACGTCAACCCTGAATTAAGCATGTAACGTTATCATTACATTGTGCATATGATCCACAATGAAAGGACAGGGTAAGAGAAAAAGAATCATTCACCCCCTTGTGGGGGGGATAGTGGAATCTCAACTCTCGGGGAAAGATTCTTTAGTTGCCAAACACTCGGCAAAGCCTCGTGTTTGGCAACTTAAGAATCCTCCCCCTCGGGTTGAGATTCTCCTATTTCACCCCCAAGGGGGTGAAATATTCTATTTGTCACCCCCTAGGGGGAGATAGCCTCGTGGCGATTAGCACGTGCTCGATTGTGACGTCATTAAAATGCGTCACCGGTAATTGTTACGTCATCAAAAATTAATGACGAAATTCATACCCAAAATGTGTTTCTGTTTACATTACTGTCGACGGAGTTGTGACTGAAATAATAGGATTGGAGAAAAACAATCATCCCCTACCTTTAGGGTGTGACAGAAATCTTCAACCCTCGTGGTGATTTGTTTTGGTTGTCTATTCCTCGGCAGAGCCTCGGGTTAGACAACCAAAAAACATCACCCCTCGGGTTGGAGATTTATCTATCACACCCTCAAGTTAGGGAATGATTGAATTAGTCCTCCTCGACTCCTTGCTGGTTTTACGAATACCAATGAGCCACCTACCCTCCACGCGTGAGTCTCCCTTTACAGTGGAGCACTTGCTAATAGATTGTTCAGATTTTAAATACTTTCGTGACAAATATTGCAATGTCGGACATGAAAACCCTTTTCTTCCGTAGACTTGGAGGCATTATGCAACTATACAACTATAATTATAAAAGACATAGGTCTGTGTTATACACTGTAATTCCACTACATTGTAACCTGTATGACTTGTTTTCCTACGACACATGCAATGTATACATATCTCATTCCATTTCAATCTTTACACGATGGTTGAAAACATGTCTCATATTTTACCCCCTTCCACTATTTTAACTCTCTAAGCCTATCCTGCTGCTGATTTTATAAGATATACGACGTTTTATATTATTTTAATTTTGATTCCTCACATGGTTGTCCCATACTAATAGATTTATTCTGACCCTAAACGACCATATTTGTCTATGGGTCGTTAAACTAAAATAGAAAAATAAACAAACAAATGGTCGTATTCGGGTTCATGTGAATAGTTTTTGTGCAGCCCAGGGCCCGTATTCACGAAACCGTTCTCATGCTCAAGCGGGGACTCAAACCAGCTTTCCTGTGTCACACTCAAATGAAATGATCAAACAGTCAAATGGAAACATTGAAAACAGTATTCGGCTTTAAGTCTCTTAAATTTTTTCACAAACACATTGACAAAATAAGATATTTGTTATTAGTTTATAAGCGGAAATAGAAATTTGGCTTGAGCACAAAATCCATGCTTGAGCATGAAAACGGTTTCATGAGTATAGGCCCTGGTGTAGGTAGTAACTACATCTCTGAACTTTACCATTTGTTTATGGATATGGAAGATTCTACTCGTTGTTATGAAAAATGTGTCGTTATAGTTTCATAGGGAAATACAATTAGTTAGAGAACAAGAAATACGAATTCAATAAGAATTCCATAAAACCAAAAATACAAAAGATACGAAGAAAGAAAGAATAGAGTTGTTTTCAGATTCAGATAGCCATACCTATTAAACACTGCATTGTACCGTCTGGTCATTTCATTCATTTGGAACCTATTAGTAATACATATGTCAAAAGAATGACAAAGCCATGTATTGGTATATCGAAACATACGAAGAACAACAGCACAAATCTGAAAGACCATCAAAAACGTTACAAAGTAAATCACTTTAGACTACGGCAGATAATGTATACATTAACTAGTACTTTTAGGAGGCACATTAATCTAGTGGTAGGACGCCGGGCTCGTGACCGAAGGGTTGCGGGTTCGAGTCACGGCACGGCACTGTGCTGTATCTTTGAGCAAGATACTTTACTCCGCTTGCTCCAGTCTACTCAGCTGTAAATGAGTATGTGGTTGGGCAGTGCTAGAATTGTAGAATCCTAGCTGTGAGCGCCGAAATGGCAGCACCGGTTGTATGCTTCCCATGGAATTGAGAAAGATATTGGCTGGTTGCAAAGGCCCTATAACCACGGATCATAATTTGTGAACCGCTTTGAATTGACTTACGAACTAGGTTGTGATAAAGCGGTATAAAAGAACCTCGAGTTACTATTTTTATGTAAACAATCAAGAACAAACTCCAGCTATAAAGCAAAGGTTAAACCCAGGGAGTCAACCGCCTTGTTTGCGTGCGATAATAAGTAGAAATACGCAGAAAGGAAATATATAATCTGTGTTATAAGGAGAGGCAGTAAGCAAGTCAAAGTAAACACTTAACTGTACAATAAGACCTAACGTGCGTGACTGCACATCCAATATCTTTGCACACTAATGTGAAATTCACTAAAGGCTTGATGGTTTCCTTAATGACCGCTTACATGATTATGTTAATGACATGCTTCTTCATATTCAGTTTTTTTGCTCACAGCAATCAATCATGCCAGCTATGAATGATACAAATGAAGATAGCGATAGTGTATGAGCAGTCTAATTAATTCTGTTGTACATCCAGACTTTTTGCGAACGAATTTGGCAATCTTTTTGTTGTTAACGCATTCATTTCCGTTACAATATGATTTGCATTATTTATACAAAATTTAAATGAGAATGCCTTTTATTAATTCTTTATATTTTATTATACAGCTGTTAATGAATGCCCTATGCAGCCAGAACAAACAACTCGACGAATCGAGCATTAGCAACCCTTCGGTCACGAGCCCGGCGTCCTACCACTAGATTAACGTGCCTCCTAAAAGTACTAGTTAATGTATACATTATCTGCCGTAGTCAATAGGAATTTCTGTCAAAGAATTATAACACAATTTACTAAAACAAGCTTTGCTGATTGTTAGTTTAGGAGCTGGTCTATCATTATCTGGTCGCAACAATTTAAACACTGACGGTATCTAATGGAGCTGGTATCACAGTACGTACCCACAAAATATATGATGGAAAGAGAATGCCTTATATCACTTATTTATATTGGCTGAAACTATCTATTGTGAAAGGACATCAACGTGATATCCAGCCTAGTCTATGCTAGATTATGGGCGGATAAATAACTACATTTTTATTGAAAAATAAAACATACATCTGGGCCTCTGGGTGCATTTTCAACACAAGTTACACTACCTCTCGAATGTTATTTACTAATTAAATACAGTAAAAAGTGACATTTTCACGGTGTTGAGATGTTCTCATTTTTTTTTTTGCGTTGAGTAAATCAAAACGGTAATATTGACACGAAAACGTTTATTTATAGGTTATAGATAAATCGAATATTGAGGTTGTATAGTTGTTGCCAACGCTAGCATGTCCACACCGCGATCAGATTTAAAGGTAATAATATGAACATTTCAGCACGTAAATATTTTCACATACAGTTATTTGCTTTGGTAAGATAATTCACTATTTACATTATTGTACAAAATAATGTACAACCAGCTTACATTCAGAAATAACACACCTTTCATTGACATAATTACGATGTTACAGAGAAACGAACCTGTTAGACTAAAATAAATAATTTCATTAACCACAGCTTACTAAGTCACAATACTTTAGACGAACAAAATCAGTTATGGAGTATTAATTGAGTATCATCAAAAATTTCCATTAAACCTTAATATTCCATTAAACTGTTTTAATCCTAATTAATTTGAACTTTCCTCATTTTCTGTAATCAGGAAGATAGCGACGGGTCCATCAGGTGAGAGCACAATTTTCATTTAATATCATTGGGATCTGTTCTTGAGGCAATGAGTCCTTTTTATTATACCCATCTTACTTGAATTGAAATGTAAATTCATATTAATATATGGATACATTTTATGGATATCGATCTTCCAACAGTAATGTAATATTCTCTATGTGGCTTTCTTGAAGTCATTTGTGGTCAGATAAAAACGCCCGCTTCGAGGTCAATCAAAAGCTATTGGATACGCTTTTCCTGTGATGCATCAATTTGATTTACTTGTATTTGTCTTCAATCAGTATTTCCGTATTATTGATTATTGTATATCAAAATCAGAGGATCGATTACCTTGTTGTCGATAAACCTTTCTGGTCATTGCATATGTGTATGTAACAATGATATAGCGCCCTGTCTAGTAAGAATAAGCCACTCTAAAGCGCTTTACAGCACATAGATATACGTTTTATACAATTAACATATATACATTAATGAATACAATTTTGAGAAATTCGCAGCAGCTGCCTTATCAGGTGCTAACTACTAGTCCTATGTCACATGGCTCGTATCTCTCTTTGTGTGTATACCTGCGTCTATGCTGGAGATATATTGCGTTCGGTTTGTAGTGGGACCGTGCTTCCAACGGTATCATTTATAGTGCCACCTCACTTGAATGCTACAGCACAGATACCGCAACATCCACCCTAGACCATTGTATACTCCACCTGGGTTGTTGGAGTTGTATGGGCAGGAGAAAAACAATTTCTCTGAATATTCTATGCGTACGACGACTTCAGGGATCGAACCCCGGCCGCCTGCGTGGAAGGTCGGAGTGTTAACCCCTCGACAAATCCGCCCATAATTTAGCATAGACTAGGCGGGATATCCCGTTGATGTCTATTCACAATAGATAGTTTCAGCCAATATCTTTCCATCATTTATTTTGTGGGTACGTACTGTTATACCAGCTCCATTAGATACCGTCAGTGTTTAAATTGTCGCGACCAGATAATGATAGACCAGCTCCTAAACTAACAATCAGCAAAGCTTGTTTTAGTAAATGGTGCTATAATTCTTTGACAGAAATTCCTATTGATAACAAACTTAACAAAAGTTTAAGCAGGGTCATGAAACCATTTCTGAAAAAATATCATTGTCAATATTTACATTCGAATATAATAGTTATTTTGCATTTAGTTTCACATCCTTACTTCACTTTGTTGGAGAAGCAGAGTCGGTGTTGTCATTTTCCGATCGGAATTCTGGTCACTTTATCAAAAGATGCATTAATCTCACAGCACGTATTGAATTATCGATTATTTGAAATGTTGATATTATGTTGTGACTACATGATGTCCCACCTATCTCACAACTTACTAACTTTGCTTGTAATATTGTTACTAGGTGATATTGTTACGTTATCAAAAGATGCATTAATCTCACAGCATGTATTGAATTATCGATCATTTGAAATGTTGATATAATGTTATGACTACAGGATGTCCCACCTATCTCACAACTTACTAACTTTGCTTGTAATATTGTTACTAGGTGATGTGAGGCCAGCTCCATAACTGATCGCCTTTGTCTAGGGGGTTATGACTAAGCTAGCCATTGTTTGTATAAGTATGTAGTTCATTTTATTATTTTTTCTGTCTACACTAGCCATTGTTTATTTAATTCATTTTTCTTTTTTTAATTTGTTAGTCTTTATTTTTATATGTTATACTTATATACACACTCCGGAATGTGAAATCAATGGAACTACGTACTTATCTGCATCAGTCGCTTACCTCGATCCTTGGTTAGAGAAAAACCAACATGAAAGGTATACTACTTATCTTTACGATAAACCATATAATTTCGCTTTCCCGAGCGTAATCTTTCCCTTTCTAGATAGTCACGCCGCTTATTCCACAGCGACACTGTTTTCATTCCTCAGTTAATTCTCTGTTTATGGAACTTCTTTGAATGGTTGCGCTATAGCTACTACTCGACCAAATCAGCCATTGGATGGGCTGATATGGGAGTCTAGAACTGATACGGAGTAAGATATGGAAATGATCATATGATAACCTCTATATATATCTGAAGAGTATGTACACTGTATGTGCCAAAACAAAGGCCAGGTGCATGTTCACAAGGTTAATTGATTGGCGTTTAAGTTATATTCCGCGGCGTTGTGCGTATCGAATTAAAGTATGCAATTCAATATGCTCCTATACACAATTCATTAATTATTATTTCGTATTCAGGAAATGGTATATATATCTATATATAAAATCAAAGAAACGTTATTGGTTATTTTTTATTTATAACATTTTCATGAAACTACGTTGTAGCAGCTGATACAAATGAAGTATATACTATGTACAAATAATAATGCGAAAACAAGTATCCTTTTTTCACTTGACATCTTTTTTCTTTAACATCAACGCTTTAGACCACACCGCGTGTATATGCTTTTTGAATATGTAACAGCTACATGAATGGTTAAAATGATCATGTTATTTTTGATAATTCCTCGTCGTGGATCTCCCTTTGTCATATCTGATACCCTGGTTATTGCTCACGGCAATATCTCAATCACATGTATGTCTTATATATAACACCTCTTGTAAAGTCATAGCATAAATTGAAATGGCGCCATTAATTCAAAATGAAAAAGTGATATTTCGCTTCTTTTTTTTTTTCAATTTGAAATTTGATGTTTTACAAAGCTAATTATTAATTCGAATTTACAAAAATAAAAATTCTTCCACGAAACTCACTTACTCCTGTTTAATTTAAGTCGTGTCTACACCTGTCTGAGTGCAATTTTTATCAAGTTTTTCTGGTACCAAATGCTCGTTATCACACCCGAAAACAGGACCAAAGACAAAGTCTGATCAAAACCGATTCAGTTACATATGGCGTTGTGAAAACTAACACAGCACGTTTACTAAGAAGGGTATGAATCCTAACGTAGGACACTTGTCATCAGAACTTGATGTCAAATAAGAAATGTATGAAGAATATTCAAATAAATTATATACAACCATAATTAATCTTTATAATAAAAACGTGTTTATGAGAGACCAAGCGTGTATTGTTAAAGACGTCAAGTACATGTACATTTTATTATTATCACGTGGCCAGCGAGCATGGCTCGACAGAGTGATCGTTGTCAGGTCATGAAATCCAACTTAATGAGATAAAAATGAAAATGTGCTGACGTTTATTACACATTAAACGTACGCTGGTTATAGGGAACTCTACACCACACCTCAGTGAAGTAAGGCTAGCTGTGAACGCGTTGCCTTATATGTTAGTTTCTGGCCTGGTGAACATATTTAAACACCACAAACAACCCTACTACGTATGTGTCTCGATCTAAAAGACATAACGCTTAACTTAATTTTATATTTCTTTGTTTATACGGATAAAAGAGTTTTTGACAAGATTTTAGCCCTCTGGTATGAGGCCTGAATTTTTTGTTAAACGTTAATAAATTCGTATTACAATGCTAGTAATTTGGTTATTCTAAATAATCGCCGCATTGCAACTGTTGTGCTTTTTTAATGAATCAATAGATCAGAACAAGTATAGGAACAGTTAACATTTGACTAAGGTTCATGTCAAAGCGTGTCAAGGAATAAAGTCTGATAAGATATTGCATTAATTTCTCGTTCCTCTGTAAAAATTATGATTGATAATTCAAATCAAAGCTACGCATTGTATGTTCGATTGTATTTATGCTGTGAGTAATTAAGTAACATTAAATTGTTTCATGTGCGAATATTAATGGTTAATCTATGATATATAACACAAACACGAACATATTAATACAAATATTCATTTTAACTCAAACTCGCGACGCATAGTATTTTTCGAAAATAATAATTTATGAAAAAAGAGGGCTAATAGTATGAGATATTAATATCTTCCATCTCGATTTTAAAATTTTAAACAACGTCCTGCTTGAGGACAAAAAAGGGGAAAAAATGTATATATCATGTTTTTATATCAAAAGACTTTCAAGTGAAATAAAACATTAAATATATTCTGTAAGAGCTATGGTAGAAAGGAAATAGCTCATGTATAACCTTCGAGGACACGAGTGCCTTATTTAAGTTCAATCGTTTTAAATCGAGTGGTTTGTATATTTGGCTGGCATAATCCCAAATCAGCCAGAACGTCTGGTACCACTACGGCCTTTCTTTATCGATTGAGCTCTCTTCAGGTATGCTCTTATCTTATCAACAGATAGACGTTCGATTCTCTTGTATAAATTCCCGTTATTTGGAATATTCAGAGACTGCAGCGCAACCCTCAAATCCTTTAACACTTGAATTTTCTCCCAGATCAATTTTTCTTGCATAACGTTAGCTGATATTTGCGAATAAGCGTTAGTGGTTGTTACGATAGGTGCTGTTGTGGTAGGTGGCGCTGTGGAGGCTGTGAACACAGGAGGCATTGTTGTTCCAGATGTAGTCCATGTGTTGGTGTACCCACCAGAGGGAGCTCCGGTGAAAACAGGGGTGTTTGTTGCCTGGTAGACCATATCCATTATTCCTGTAGTTGCCATGTTCAAAGGAAACTGTGGCTTTTCAGAGCTGATAGTAAGTGGACTTCCTGTATTGAGCTGCACGTTGATTGGAGTTGATTTGTACATGTAAGTTGGTGGTGCAGGTGAACCAGGAAGCAACGGCCCAGTAGGTCCAGTGTCTTTTATTATAGAGTAATCGGCCAGGTTGCTTTGACCATTTTTCATTATTCTGACATCCGGTTTCTGGGCAAACTGATCTGCTATTGGTTGTTGATGGTTGGAAAATGTGTTTGAACCGGTGTTTATATCAGCCAATCGTACGTCTTTGATTTTACTTTCAATATTTTTCTGCTTTATAGGAACAATAGCTGCTTCTGGCTCGAATCCCGGTTTAGATGATGCCAAGTTATACTTAGGTTCACTGCCGATCAAAATGGAGGCTGGTAGTGTAGCTAGTGGCTGTTTTAATCCTGGTGTCCAGGAAAGGGGTTTCGATGCACCAGAGCCCTGGTTTCCTTGTGAAACTATCGGTGCCTTTGATGGCCACTGGTTAGGGGCCGGCTCGGACTGCGCTACAAACCCGGGGACTAAGGGTTCCGTGAATTGTGGCTGATTCCCTACTAGAAAACAATCAAACGAAATAATATTAATTTGATATATGTATATACAAGCGTAGTTGCAGTTTCCGTTTTGTAACGGGTCTATTACTGAGAAGTCGAAAACGTAAAACAAAATCGCCATAAATCTATGTAAGTACTATTGGAGAATCATCCATTCATGTAATACAGAAAAAAGCAATGTTTTATTCTGTTTATTAAATACTTACTAATAAAAGCTACTATCTTATGATCTATTTTTCTTTTGAAATGTTGAAAAACGAAACATTTCCAAAAGGGGTGTGATAAGGGTTTTGCAGGCTGATACGGAGGGGGCTGATATGGGTTACAGCAATTGAGGCGTATAGCATATACAAAAAAAAGCCGTATTTATTAGTAAGTATGTCATACCATTCTTTATTGCATACTTACTAAAAAAATACCTTTTTTTTTGTATATGCGATACGACACAATTGCTTTAACTCATATCAGCCCTCGCCGTATCACACCCCGAAACCCGTATCAACCCTCTTCATATCAGCCCGCAAAACACGTATCACAACCCTTTTGGAACACTTCTACTTTTTCCCATCTCGGTCCCTTAGGGCTGATATAATCTCGGGTTGATACTGGGTGTGATATGGAAAAAGGCATGTATTATTCTCTATTTAATCCACGCGATATCTTTCACTGACTGACCTTGGGCAATTAAATGCTAAAAGACGTATCATATGATGGATATGGAGAATACGTGTGCACTTAAGTAATACAAACTATTAATACAGGTTAAGATTAGTGAGATTGAATTAAGAAATGAATATTTGTTGCTTACCCAGCGGTCCTGTTGGTGACTCAATCATCAAGGAATCCATCTGATTAAGTGGCCCGCTTGACCCAGAATGTTGTTGAAGTGTATCTAGTGTTGGTCCACCGAGAGGGCTTGCCACCAAGGGACCTGAAATACAGGTAGGAAAGATTAAACCACTAGTTTACATATCATTTAGATATAGTTAGTGGTATGTTGACGAACTATAGTGCTCTTTCGTGGTGCAAGTCGTGAAGGCATATATTCATAAATAACTAGTTCCCATTTCTTCACATCAAGCATATGTACAGGGTATCGTGGACACATTTTCTAAATACTTACATTTTTTATCTTGCTGCCTGTTAAATGTAGATACAACAAGACGGTATTCTGTAGATTTCTCTACAGTTTCAACGCAGAAACATTTATTTTTTGTTGAAATGAAATATTATATTATTATGTACAATATCAGAAATGTTTGTAGTGTTTATACATTTGAACCAAATATTGTTCACAATGTCCACAAAACAACACATTTTAATTGATTGACAGAACAACCAGAACGTATGTTTGTCTAGTCTGATGAATAGTGCGAATTCACGATAAGCAACAATAATGCATTTTTTATATTTATACACACAAAGAATAATGTAACTTTTATCAAGAAAATTGATATTTGATCATTACCGTTATAGCTATCCCATGACATGAATTATTCTTTGGGATATAAAGGAAAGCCAAGCAAATGACAAGAAAGGCGTTCAGAAGAAAAACCTGTAAAAGGGGTTAAGCGTTCCTTTTGGTACAAAAATATCATTGTGAATATACAGTCACCACAACTGCTTGATATTATTGCAGCAATGCTTAGATTGGATGAGTACCTTTGCATGAATGTCCATGTTAGATCTGCGTATGTCAATAAAATGATGTATGGTATTAATATGTACCATGTTATTGTATAGGCTATACGGTTATACATATTAGTGAACGCTAGTTAAAAGATAATCACCAGTGTGCGTAATGGTTGATGCAACATCCGTGTTCGCAATAGATGTAGATGAAAGTTTTACACTTTCCATTTTTGATGCCACTGTAGATTCAGCTGTGGCGGCTAGAGGTCGGCTCAAACGACCGTCTGTCTTTTGAGTCCTTGCCAGTTTGAGCACCTGCGATAGCCTGGCTAAGGGTTGGATAGTCGCAAATGATCCGCTAACTAATGGCTGTGGTTTAGATTTTTCTGCAAGTGTACTCTGTGTAAGATTTTCAGCCGTTGTGGCCTCATAATTCATGTTTTCAGTGAAAAGTGTGATCGTGCTGGTAGGATCTGTACGTGTGATTGGTATGGGTGCTGAAGTTATGATCGGGACTAATATTGGCGTGGTAGAATGTGTAGTAATAGTTTCCGATGGAACAATTATCGCCGTTGTCGAATGTAAAGTATTACTTTCCGTTAGGACCATTATGGTAGTGGTAGAATTTGTTGTAGTTGGCGTTGTCGTACTTGTGGGCGTGGTAGGCGTGGTAGTGGTTGAAGGGGTTGTCATAGTTGTGGACGTGGTTGTCGGGATAGGCGTTGTCGTGGTAGGCGCAGTTGTCGTGGTAGGCGCAGTTATCGTGGTAGGCTTGGTTGTCGTTGTGGGCGTGGTTGTCGTTGTGGGCGTGGTTGTCGTTGTGGGCGTGGTTGTCGTTGTGGGCGTGGTTGTCGTTGTGGGCGTGGTTGTCGTTGTGGGCGTTGTCGTAGTTGTGGGCTTGGTCGTCGTGGTCGGTGTGGTAGTAGTTGTAGGAGTTGTTGTAGTTGTGGGCGTGGTTGTCGTTGTAGGTGTCGTGGTGGTGGTGGTTGGAATAGTTGTTGTCGTTGTGGTCGGCTCAGTTGTTGTAATTATATCCATGTACAGGTGGTCTAATCTTAATGGTTCTTGCTTAGTCGTGATTTCAGTGATGTAATCTGGTGTAAAGACTGTGGTCGACGCACTATCAGTGGTAGAACCAGACAGGCTTTGCGTCGGTGACTCCTGGTGAGTTGATATAGTTCTGCCGATTGCACTGCTAGATAGGCGGCTTCCTTTGGACATCAGTAAGGAGCCAGATAATTTATTTAAAGTTGTGAACTTTGTAGGCTTGATAATGACATTAGGAACATTTTCTAATCCAAACAGCTGCTTCAGTCTTTCTACAGATTGGCGGATGACAGATGAGGATTGTTTTTCATTGATGCTATTCAAATTTGACCTTCCAGCAATAACTGTGGGGCTCATAACGATATGACTCATGCCCCCAAATGCTGTAGGTTGTAATAAACCTTCTCCATTCGAAACGAAATTGCTTGTGGAGAAGGTCCTTCTCGGTTCTGTTGTTGATGTGGGCTCTGTGACCGTGGGTGGCTCAAATGTGGTTGTAGTTGTGGTAGGCTCCTCAGTAGTTGTTGTTGTTGCAGTGGTTGTGGTAGATGCTTCAGTTGTTGTTGTTGTTGTAGGCTCCGTTGTCGTTGTTGTAGGTTCCGTTGTCGTTGTTGTAGGTTTCGCCGTAGTTGTTATGAAATCCATATATAAGTGATCTAGTCGAAGTGGCTCCGGAGGTTCAGTCGGAACAGGGGTCGTTGTCACTGTTGTTGTAGTTGTAGGTGTGGTTGTTGTAGTTGTAGGTGTGGTTGTTGTAGTTGTAGGTTCGGTTGTTGAAGTTGTTGTGGGAGCCTCAGTTGTTGTTGTTGTTGTGGACGTTGTTGTCGTTGTTGTAGGTTCAGTAGTAGTTGTTGGCTCGGTTGTTGTAGTTGTTGTCGGAGCCTCAGTTGTAGTTGTTGTTGTCGGAGTCTCAGTTGTTGTTGTGGTTGTAGGAGCCTCGGTTGTTGTTGTTGTTGGAGGTTCAGTTGTTGTGGTTGTTGTCGGAGCCTCAGTTGTTGTAGTTGTTGTCGGAGCCTCAGTTGTTGTTGTTGGAGCCTCAGTTGTAGTAGTTGTTGTTGGAGCCTCAGTTGTTGTAGTTGTTGTTGGAGCCTCAGTTGTTGTAGTTGTTGTCGGAGCCTCAGTTGTTGTTGTTGGAGCCTCAGTTGTTGTAGTTGTTGTTGGAGCCTCAGTTGTTGTAGTTGTTGTTGGAGCCTCAGTTGTTGTAGTTGTTGTCGGAGCCTCAGTTGTTGTTGTCGGGGCCTCAGTTGTTGTTGTTGGAGCCTCAGTTGTAGTAGTTGTTGTTGGAGCCTCAGTTGTTGTAGTTGTTGTCGGAGTCTCTGTTGTAGTAGTTGTTGTGGGAGCCTCGGTTGTTGTTGTTGTTGTTGTGGGAGCCTCGGTTGTTGTTGTTGTTGTTGTTGTTGTCGGAGTCTCTGTTGTAGTAGGTGTTGTGGGAGCCTCGGTTGTTGTTGTTGTTGTTATTGTCGGAGTCTCTGTTGTAGTAGTTGTTGTTGGAGTCTCTGTTGTTGTTGTTGTTGTCGGAGCCTCTGTTGTTGTAGTTGTTGTCGGAGCCTCTGTTGTTGTGGTTGTTGATGGTGCCTCTGTTGTTGTGGTTGTGGATGTGGTAGTTGGTGCCTCTGTGGTCGTGGTTGTTTTTGTAGTGGTGGTCGTTGTCGGCACCTCAGTTGTTGTAGAAGTTGTTGTCTGTTCTGTCATTTTTGTGATCGGTTCTTTTGTTTTAACGATAGGCATGACCAGGTGGTCCAACCGTAATTGTGGTTCCTTTGTAGTGGGAGAGTCTGTCATGGCCAATTGTTTGTTTGATGAAGTTTGTTCTTGTCTTTGATCCCGCGATTGTTGTGTTGTAGATGAATCTGAAGACATAAATGTAGCAGTACTTTGTTGTTCCGTTGTGAAGTCAGTTGCTTTGTTATTAGGCATTGCATTGCCACGACTGTCAAAGTTTCCTTTGGATGAATCTAAATGTAAGCCTTTCACTAACGTATTGATTAACGTACCAGGACCAGTACCAGGTCGATGGTCCACATTTGCAATAGTTCGCTGTACGAATTTCGGCATATCATTGAATAGCATCAAAGTATTTTGGTTTCCTCCTTGATCATTGGGAAAATTGCCAGAATTTGCTTTCGCGTCTTGATTAAATCCTGTGTCTGTTGACCAGAGGGCCTGGAAATTGTTATCCTTTGCTCCAAAATCATTCCCCGCTAACGGGTCCACTTTAAGAGCTGAAGGATCAAAGTTAAATTGTCTATCTTCGGATTGAATCATTCCATCTTGTGCATCTGTCCTCCTGCCATGTGTAGTAGTCGCTACATCTTCTGGAATTGGTACATTGTCTGTTGTACTTATCATCTCACTTGGTGTATCAGTCATGCCTTCCAATGCACTGGCCATGGGCATTTCTTCATATATCATATCCGTGTATGAAGTCGTCGCTCCATCGTGTGTACTCTTCATTCCATCGTGTGATCTAGTCGTCTCCGTATGTGATCCCGTCTTTCCATTTTGTGTATTAGTCATTCTATCGTGTGAACTGGTCATCTTATCCTGTATACTCGTCCTTCCCTCGTATGTACTTGTAGTTGCAGTATGTGTACTCGTCATTCCGTCATGTGTACTCGTCATTCCATTATGCGATGCAGGCGTAATCGTCGTACGATCTTGTGTACTTCTTTTATCACCTTGTGTACTTGTCATTCCATCTTTTGCACTGGCCTTTGTATTCACTGAACTAGTCATTTCATCTTGTCGACCTGTCTGTACCTGTTTTGTAGCTCCATTTTGCACATGCTCCAAGTTTGTGTTCGTAGATGACTCCGTTTGTCGCGACTTGTGCTGAACAAAACTTGTCGCATTTTGTTCGTTTGTACTTGGGCTTTGTTCAGTGGTTTGTGCATTGTGTGTATGTTGTTGAGAATTTATATATGTGTCTGTGTTTTTATTGACATCGTGTAAAGGTGTAGCATCTGCTTGGCTGTGTATGCTTGTGCTAGAGGTTGGGAATACTGATGCACTTTGGATTGTTTTTGTAGTGTGTAGATTAATACTTGGTATGATAGTATGAATTTGCTTTGTTGGTTGTTCTGCGTTTTTAATGTTTGTGTTAGTTGCAAAGCTCTTGGAATGTTTTTTGTCTGTTGGTGTATATGGCTCAGTTGGTATAATGTTTATATCACTGACATCATTCATTAAGGTTTCAGAGGGGAAGAATTTATGACTGCGATGTTTTGCATTTAAATCAGATTGTAAGTTACCAAAGGCTATATTATCTGAGTCACCTGTCTGTCGAAACCTATCTAACCTATTATTGAAGGATGCTGGCGTTTCTTCGGTTGCCAAAATGTCATTCAGATGATTTGCATTGAATCCGCTTTCAGCATTGGCAATACTGTTTTCATTTATTCGTCTTCCGATGTCTTCATTATTAGCAATGATTAAGCGGTAAGCCTGAGTCGATGCAGTATTGTCAACCATAGGCAAATGCATCTTCATTGCTAAACTAGCGGCATCGTTTGGTGTTATTGATGTCATTGTACTTTCGTCTGTAGCCGGAAACACACCGGTTGACAGGTCAACACTAGACTTTGTTGTCTTTGGAGCTGTAGCCACACTTGTTGACATGGATGACATAGGCTTTTGTGATGTCGTCCCATCCTGACTTCTAGTAGTAGATGATACATGTTCTGGATATCCAACTGGAGGCTGCTCTTGAGCCTGCGGAATGTCGGTCAAATCAGTAACCAAATCACCATTTACTTGATTAGGTTCACTTAGGAATGACGGATACTTTCTGTTAGAAGCTCGGAACGATGATAACATGGTGTTGCTTCTGCCAATAGAAAATTTACCTGCAAGATTTCCACTTTCTTTATTTTTGTCATTATTGAACATACTAACTCCCATTCTGCCTTTGAAACGAGGGGTTTGCTTAATAAGAAGGGATGCTTTGGCCAAAGCTTCAACGGCTGATGCTTGATTTTGATTATGTGTGGTATTTCTATTATTTTTATTCAACCCTTTAGCTAGGGACTGACTCACATCTATTAAATTATGATTTCGATTCTTAGTAAAGGATAATATAGGGGAAATCTCTTCTTTTTTATGTTGAGCTGCGCGTTGACTATCTACTAGAGCAACCAACGGAGAATGTATATGCGTTTTTTGCATTCGCAACCCACTTCTGTCGATATATTTCATTATCAATGGAAATTTTGATTGCGACTTTAACGCTTCAAGATTTATGGATTGCTTTTTATTGTCAGGACCCATAGTTTTAAATAGATATTGAAGAACATCGAAGCTTAATTCCATAGGTTTGTTGTGATCTTGAAACAGGTAATGACCTTGTGCAAAAAGTGGTAATTTGTTTTGCTGTCGGGGGACATTAATACTGGGATCCGAGTCGGTTAATACCCCGGATGTTGGTAATACTACGTCAGCTTTTTGTCTATAACTATCAGCAAAAGGACCCTGGTCAAAGCTTCCATCAACAAACTGATCACGTGTTCTAAAAACTGCACTTGGATCACCAAGGTGATGATAATCTATTACTTTGCCTAACGATTTATATCCCTCCACGAAAGATACATTAACCTGTTTTCCATTGATACTCTGTAGCGGAATATAAGCTTGGCCCTGTTGAGGTCCACGTGGTACGTGACCGGCCTTTCCAAACAACGAATTGCCAGCCTTGGAAGTACTTGCACGAGTTAAAGGGCCAAGTAAGGTACCTGGTGAAAGTGTTCCATTTTGTATAGCCGATGGTAGAGTTTGTGTTCCATTTGCAAGCAGAAATTTGTGTTTAGAGAGATGGGTTGGTACTTTAGCATTTACAACAGGGCTATGGTAGATGAAACTCGCTGAATCCGGGGTATTTTCTGTCTTCTGTACACTTCCTGTTGTATGTGCGATAGGATCTAATGAAAACTTCATCTTCATTCTGTTGTCAGGTGGCACGGAGGCGGCTGAAGAGCTTAGGAATAGTTGTTTACGACGGTTCTCAAGAAGAGCTTTGTATATGGGGGTCAGGTACTGAGGATCTACGAAATTAAGATTCGAACTTGACGTTTTTTTGTGAGCTGAATATCTACTAGACAGTTTCTTCAACAAAGCAGTAACATGTTCAGAAATCTTTGGGTCGGAAAACCGTACTTTTGGATTACTTGTTTTATTTTCATTTATCGATTTCACTTGTTCTTTAGTACTAGAAGGTATATTATTAGAAAATACACTTTTAGGTTCAGGGTTCGGATTTTTTCTTTCTTTATTGATATCAGCATGGTTATTGTTTATTGAACTGGGCTTTTGTTGAATTTGATTATTTTGTTGTTTTGCGCGATTAGATAACCTACCTAAATGTTCATTCATTTGCGGATCAACAAAACTTATTTTCGGAACAATTGCAATGTCACTGTCAATTTGGTAACGACTGTCACGTGCTTTTTGAAATATCGATCCAGGATATTTTTGATTCATTTGATGACCAGTGAGTCCTGTATTAGAATTTGTATTCAAAGAAGCAATGCCTGCTTTCATTGGTGACGATTTTTGCGATTTTTGTAAACCTAATGGCTTTATTGGCATATTATCAATTTCGCCAAGCTTTAGCCCCTGTTGTCCGTTGAACTTTTTCCCTGGCCTGTCATAGTTTAAATGCGAATCAAACAGGTTGTTCGAATTTTGTAATGGCGTTGGGTTAACGAATACAGGGATTCCTTGGATTCCTTGAAGTTTACCTTTCGATTGTTTTTCATTTACAAGTAAGAGGTCACTAGTAAAAGGCCTGTTGTTATTATTCAAAATTGTCAAATCTTCATTAGTTTGTTGTGACAAAAGTGAATTTGTATTTGAAAATGTTTCATCGGGAGCTGTTGACTGTAAACCCGGAGTAAAGATGTTTCCCCCAATGTTGATATGTGTATTATCAGTCATCGATGTTGATAATGGATGGTGTGTTTGGTCATTTGTCGTTTGTAGTGTTTCGTCCGTGTTTAAAAATGGGTGGATTGGCATATCTGATATATCAACAAAAGTTGTCGACTGACGTGATAGTGTTGGCGATTCCGTGTTATTAATTGGAGATGTATGGGCGACAGTTGATGTCAATGTGTTTGCTTTGTTTTTAGTAGCGTGATCTGATGGAACACCTGTTGACATGGCGTTGCCAACATTTATATTTGACTTGCTCGATGCCGTTTGTGTCGGTATATTAAGGAATTTAGATGGTTGCGAACCAGTAGACGATGGTGCAGTACTTACACCTAAAGTAGGCTGACCTGACACAGGAATTGTTTCTATATTCTGGGATCTTGTTGACAAAGAATCCCTAGAGGGTATAGTGGTTTTAGTATTTGTTGTTGGTACTTCAGATGTAGTTTGTGACGGTGTTTTGTGGAGTTGCGTGGAATGCAGACCTGTAGACGGGTATGTGGGGACTGTGTGTAAATTAGGCTGACCTGATGTCATCATTTTGTCATGATTGTAGAATCGTGTAGAATGGGGATCAGTATTAATGGTCGTTTTCCCTACATCAGTGGGTGCTTGATATGTTGTAAACAACGTAGCAGCTTTATGAGTAGCAGATGTAAACTTTTGACCGATAGATTTCTGTGTTGTGGAATGAGTGCTGATTTTTGAGGAGGTGGTGACACTATTTTCAGTTTGTTGTCGTAGTGTATCATGTTTTTTTGCGTTATATGCCTGTGATGATTGGATATTAGCTGTGGTTTGTGCATTTGTATTATCGGTAGTATATGATAATGTGTTCTTGGAATTCACATCTGGGTTCTGCATTGCATTTCCATTCTTAGTCTGAAGATGTGTTAATGATACTGAGTCTCCTGCTTTTTCTGTGGCTGTAGACCCAATAGACTTAGCACCATTGACACTTGTGGCAGTGGAATCCTCTATCATATTTGGTTTTGACGTTACTGCTGTATCCATGCCTGCAATATTGAAATTAGTGGGTATTACGTCATTTTCGGGTGTTATACTTTCATGGGGAATGCCATCCCCACCAGATGTAGTAGACAACTGATACAACTCACCGTTTCCTATGGTGGACGTTATGGTGTTGCTCAATGTGGAATATCCGGTTACAGGAGCCCGCGCAGACGATGCAGTGGGGAACGCTAAGCCTGTGGAGTGTGTCCTAAGATTATTGCCATTGTTAGTAATAGTATTTGCCCTTAACGTTAGTGTCGTACTAAAAATGGGTGAATTTCCTTTGAAAGCATTTGTTTGTTGCTTTGATGATGTTGTTAATAATGATGATTGTCTTTGGTCTGTTGTAGGTAGAACTGAGTTGGACCCTTCTACTACTGGCCCTGAAGCAATGCTAGAACGAGGAGTGTAAATAAGGGTATTAGACAGGGTTGGTGCGGCAGCACTAGACGCTTGAGCAGAACGCGCATTGAAAAATGTTGTTTTCATTGATGGTACAGCATCTGTTGCCGCTTCTGTTGTAATGGTTGATGTTTCTGTTGGTTTATGTTTTCTTTTTCTTTCTGTTATTTTTCTTTCTGTTGTTTTAGTAGTCGTTGCTTCTATGGTAGTTGTTGACGTGGTTGTTGTTGGCCTTTCTGTTGTTGTTGTTGTTGTTGATGATGTTGTTGTTGTTGTTGTTGTTGTTGATGGTGGTGGTGGTGTTGCTTCGGTGGTTGATTCTGGTGTCCTCCTTTCTGTCGTGGTTGTCACAGTAGTAGTGGTAGGTGGTTGTGTTGTAGTTTCGGGTTTGACAAATGCCATATAGAGATGATCGTATCTAAGCGGCTCTGTTACCAAAGGCAGTTCTGTCACGGGTTTGGTTTCCGTATATGTTGTCTGTACATTAGTTGTTAGTTCGTTATTTGTATTAGTAGTACCTGGTTCGGTCACATTCGTTGTATCTGCTTCTGAAAGTGATGTTGATGCGTATGTAGTTGTGTCTTCAGTGAATGCCTCAGCTACAGACGATGTTTTGTGTGCCATGGAACTAGCAAGAGATACGGCTTGCCCTTGCGCTGTAGTAGGTACTGAATCATACTGCAATGTTCCCTGTGTCGTTCTGCTGTCGTGAATCTGCAATGCCTCGATAGTTTGGGATGTCACATGGATATCTGCTCCTAAAGCTCCAAGTGTAGTGGATGAGTCCAACATTTGCTCTGTCTGTTGGGTTGCAAAATCCAGGTTTGTTGAGGAGGGTATGTAAGTTGGTTCTGTCGAAGGCATGCCTGTAATTTGCCCGACATCTGACGTTTGTTCCATTGTTCTTACTGATATTTGATATCCGGGTATTGAAACTGGATTAATTTGGCTTACTGCACTAGCATCAGATACGGGTTTAGTTAACATGGTTTCTACGTTTGAAAGAGGATCCTGATTGTGCGCGCGATCTACTGTCGATTGTGGTAAAGATTGCAGTGTAGAAGATTTTTCCGTGGTGCGTTCTAAAAGCACAGTTTCATGATGTACAGGTTTTCCTGTTACAAATGAACCAATCCAATTATCGCCTGGTGCGTTTGTGGTGGTTACATCAGCTGTCGTTATCGTTGAATCTGGAGTGGAACTGGTTGTAGTCGGCTCTGGAGTTGTAGTTGTTGTCGTTTGTTCAGCTGTTGTAGTGGTTGTCGTTGGTTCTGGAGTGGTAGTAGTGGTTGTTGGTTCGGTAGTTGTAGTAGTTGTCGTTGGCTTAAGAGTAGTAGTAGTTGTCGTTGGTTTAGGAGTGGTAGTAGTTGTTGTCGTTGGCCTAGGAGTGGTAGTGGTTGTTGTCGTTGGCCTAGGAGTGGTAGTGGTTGTTGTCGTTGGCTTAGGAGTAGTAGTTGTTGTCGTTGGTTTAGGAGTGGTAGTGGTTGTTGTCGTTGTCAGCTTGGGTGTGGTAGTGGTTGTCGTTGGTTTGGGAGTTGTAGTGGTTGTTGTCGTTGGTTGGGGAGTGGTAGTGGTTGTTGTCGTTGGTTTAGTAGTGGTAGTGGTTGTTGTTGTTGGTTTAGGAGTGGAAGTGGTTGTTGTCGTTGGTTTAGGAGTGGAAGAGGTTGTTGTCGTTGGGTTAGGAGGGGTAGTGGTTGTTGTCGTTGGTTTAGGAGGGGTAGTGGTTGTTGTCGTTGGCTTGGGGGTGGTAGTGGTTGTCGTTGGTTTAGGAGTGGTAGTGGTTGTTGTCGTTGGTTTAGTAGTGGTAGTGGTTGTTGTCGTTGGTTTAGGAGTGGAAGTGGTTGTTGTCGTTGGTTTAGGAGTGGTAGTGGTTGTTGTCGTTGGCTTTGGAGTGGTAGTGGTTGTTGTTGTTGGATTAGGAGTGGTAGTGGTTGTCGTTGGTTTAGGAGTGGTAGAGGTTGTTGTCGTTGGCTTGGGAGTAGTAGTAGTTGTCGTTGTAGGTATCGGAGTGGTTGTGGTTGTCGTAGGTTTTGGAGTGGTAGTGGTTGTTGTTGTCTCTGGAGTGGTAGTAGTTGTTAATTGTGCAATAGTGGTTATCGCTTTAGAAGATGGCACTGTAGTAGTTACATATACATGGCTTCTATGCGTCGTAGGCCTTGTTGTCGTTTGTTTTATTACGGCATCGCCATGTAAGCCAGTGTTGCTAGAAGACAAAGGTGGGGTTGGTTGCGGCCGTCCAAAATGTATTGGAATGCCATGAAGTTTGCTTCTATCAACCTTGACACTGGATGATGGAAATGGAGTAGCGAATTGATCACCTGAAATTATAAAAACGATAACCGTATGTAGTTCAGTATTTGAATGCATGTATAAATGAAATAAATATATATATAAATATACCCCAAAATATGTTTTTGTTGTAATAATATAATGTCGTTAAAAGTTTTGTAGTAACTATATTTCATCATCAAATGTGACATGCATCTCAAATTTATCGATACATGTATTCATGCATCTTAATTTAAACGTGTTTATGTTTTCATAGTATTAACAAAATACTTTTTTTTAAATAAAAGAAACATGTCAGACAAGAAATATGAATGAAAGACAATTTTCTCACCCGATGGCTTCGTATCGACCTTTGTGCCACTAGTTGTACCACCGCTATGATGAATGTTTGCTTCACCGAGAACAGAACCATAAATCGGTGTAACTGTCGGCTCATTAGACATAACTTTATATATAGGTTTGCTAAGCATGGCTTCGTACTTCTTAGAACGGGCAGCATTGACGGCATCGCGCATTCCAGATTTGCTTTCTTTATTCACATTCGTTTTCGCTATCAATTGTTCTTTCGCAGCGCTAGTTTTACTATCAGCAGTCAAAGCATTTGATGTTTGCGTCGCAGAACCTGTATGAATAGTAGCTGGTTTAGTCGCAGCGCTTTTCTTCTGAGAACCGGTCATGTGCTTTGTCCCACTACTGTGAACTCTGGTTTGTTTCAAGGTATCTCCTTGAACTGAAGCAGCATTATGTGTGTTGCCTCCTTGCATGTTACCAGTTTGTTGCAATGCTCCTTGGGATTTGCCGGTTTGCTGAACTACACTCCCTTGAACTTTACTTATTTGTTGCAATTGGCCTCCTTGAGAATTACCACCTTGCTGTATTAAACTTCCTTTAGTTGTACCCATTTTAAGCAATGGACCTCCTGGCAATTTTCCAGTGTCTTTCAAAAAGCCTTCCAGTGTTTTACCAGTCTTTTGTAATCCATTTACTTGGCCTTTACCAGTCTGTTGTAACGCACCTCCCTGAGATTTTGCGGTTTGCTGTACTACACCTCCTTGAAGTTTACCAGTTTTATGCAATAACACTCCTTGAGATTTTCCATTTTGTTGTTGCATCAAACCTCCTTGCGATTTACCACTTTTATGCAATGGGGAAGCTTGTACTTTACCAGTCTGTTGTAACGCACCTCCTTGAGATCTAGATGTTTGATGTTCTAAACCTCCTTGCAAATGACGCATTTTTTGCAAAGGACCTCCCAGCGGTTTTCCGATATCTTGCATTGTACCTCCTTGCGCTAAACCATTTTTGTTTAATGCATTTACTTGACCTTTACCAGTCTGCTGTAACGCAACTCCCTGAGATTTAGCAGTTTGATGTTCTAAACCTCCTTGCAGTTGACGCATTTTATGCAAAGGACCTCCCGGCGATTTTCCGGTTTGTTGTATTGAACCTCCGAGCGCTTTTCTAGGTTTTTGTAATCCACCTCCTTGTACTTTGCTAGTCTTTTGTAATGCACCACCTGGTGATTCAGCGGTGTGCTGTAAACTCCCTTGAAGTGAATTCATTTTGTGCAGTGGACCTCTTTGAGCTAAACTAGGTTGTTTTAGTACAGACCCCTGCTTTTTTCCATTTGTTTTCAATGCTTGAGCTTTACCAGATTTCCCTCCAAAACTTCCGTGAGCTCTATCGGTCAGTTGCAATGCACCTTCTTGTACTACACCTGTTTCTTGTAATCCACCTCTCTGTTTAAATGAACCTCTGTGGGGTACACCAGTTTGCTGTTTGACATCCTTTTGTATGCCAACAAGATGTTTTAATGAGCCTTTCTGAGCTACGCCCGTTTGCTGCTTGGCTCCTCCTTGTGTTGCAACAGGTCGTTGTTTTGCACCCGCTAGAGATTTTCCTGTATTTCCGTTTTGCTTTGTTGTGGTGCTTTCGAGATTTTTATTAATATTGTCAATGTATATCATTAGATTATCTAATACATGTTTAGTTGCAGGTTTTGATGGTGTTTTCACAGGCATCTTTTGAGTTGAACTTGGTTGTCTTGTTTGAGCTTTGCGCTGTTCATGTGGATCTAATGTCTTTTTAACAGCCATTTCACCTAAAAAGAAAATATATTGTCAATAAAATAACACTTGATATTAGGAAGATTACATATTACAGCATCAATGAATAACACTAAGGAATGATACAAAAAAGCAATGCATTGTTGCTATTTTCCTCATAAATGATGCTTAGGTCAGATTTCTTTGCATTATATTTCTATATAAAAGGCTATACTTGCGCATATAACGTAGTTCGTGTTATGTAGCGTCATGGTTTTACATTATCCAAAGCACTGTGGCGAATAATGTGTATTTGTTTTTACCTATTGGTATACCAGGTTTGTATATTCCTTGATCCCTGCCCCATGGTATTTCTTTGAAGTTCTCCCACTTTTTGCCTCTACCCGGCAGATCAATAACAGGTTCGGGCCTTTTAATAACAACTGCAATACAAGAAACAAAAACTTAATTCTCAGATTTCAAGCTGCAAACGAGAGCAACAGCTTTTTCATGCTACTGGTCAACATGTTTTACCAAAAGCGATATGAAAACTATGGTACGATATGTAACACAATAATTTGAAATATTACTATTCCGTCTTTTTTCTTCTCTTGTGAGCAGGTATTGATTGTTACGTCATTGGTTTTCTCAAAAAATGATGACGTTACTCTTATAAACAAATGACGTAACAATCAATACCTGCCCACAAGAGAAGATAACTCTGCAATACCAAAAGACGGAATATGTAGATTGATAACAGTTGCGATAAACTTTCTGAGCAATGCAGTGTTAATGGAAGAATGATTATTGTTACTGGTAATTTGTTCGTGTTGTGAGGACGGGGTTCTTCAACTACCCCTGTAGACTTTTATGGCAAATATGATAGAAAGTTACATGTAAAATAAAGTTGCATAATGAGGTTTTCCACATAGTTACCTGTGGAATACAGTATGTTGATTATGATTTATTCATTTGTTGCCCTTTGTGACTTGCGTTGTTAAGATATTGTGTGTGATGACAGTGTTGTCGGTAGTTACCCCAGGAACTTGGTGTGTAGTTGATATACTGTAAATATTTTACACTGGGGAGGATGTTTAAGGCTGCTTAAAGTTGGCCGAACTTACTAAGAAAACACGTTTTGTGGATATAGTTGTTATATGGACGAATAATTTGTGTAATGTGGTTTGCATAAGAGTAACTTTTGCTGTCGAAGGTTTCAATAGCTACCAGGAAGAAGCTGTTAAATGGCCGATATATTTCCATTAACGATATTGGAAGTTATTTAATAGAAGGAATGTTCCTTATTATAGGAGTCATTAATGGGTTTTCATTAGTTAGTCAAAAAGAACATGAGTGATTAGCATAAGCTTGTAATTACCTGGGGGAGGCTGTGTAGGTGGTGGTCGAGGCGTCTGACGGGCAACAGGTGACAGACCGGACATGACCTTGACCTCAGCATCTGTATTAACGTATGTACTACCATCTGATACCACGTATGAGTCTGACAATATTCCAAGTGAATGTTTTCCGTTTTCAAACCTTTGAGATGAAGGAGATTCTATATGCATTCCAGGATGATTTTGCATATGCGACGGAATATTCCGTTGTTGGCTCAATGACTTTCGGTGCTCAATACTGGCATGCCAATTGTCAGGCGGTGGTCTATGAGCACCAAGGCTCGAACCGACTTCCATTGTTGCTATATGGTCGGGTGAGGAAATAATCCCTAATCTTGGGTCAACAACCGAACTAGCCTCTCCTTGCATAACAGTAGCGCCGCCTCCTGAGTGTAAACCTGACATTTGCTCTGACAATGTTGGTTGGTTTCTGCCTGAAACAGAAGATTACATTTCACTGCTTCGATATTATGCTGTTTTTGAATCAAAACATTAACCGATATTATTGAATGGCGTTAACTTTCATCGGTCATCTGCGCGTGATTTAAATAAATTGAAATAATACAAAAAGTAAAGACTTACTGTGCATTAGTTTCGTCGGGTCCATAAATATTTCCGTATGTGAATTGTCTAGCGCACGTTGCTGGTTGACACTGGATGCTTCCCACAGCTGAGTATTGGAACCCGTAGTCTGTGAAAGAGCTTGATGCATATCGCTGGGTATTTCACCTTGGTTTGTGATCGATACAGGAGAGTCGAAAGGTCTATCATTAGGCGTTGGGGAAACAATGTCTGGAGACGTCATTACAGATTGGAAAGGTGAATTTGAAGAAATCCTTGTATTGCCTGCGTTTCGTATACCGACGGTGTTTATACTGTGATGATGTCCCATCTCAGGTTGGACATGTACGTCGGGGCCGTGCAGTTGCGCATCCAATTGCTTTGTGGCTGTATTAAATGCCATATTCTGGTCATGTCCGAATGTCTTCCCTCTATTTGCACCAGTGTCAACCCACGTGGCTCCTGCATGTGTCAACGGACGAGTATTAGTACCGAGAATCTTGTGCCTGTTTATTGCGCAGCGAACACGTCTTCTTTTAAATATTTGAGTTTGTTTCTGCTATAGCAACCTTCTGATGATCGAAACACATCGTTTACTGATGAGCTAATACACCTAAATTTTGACGTGTCACGGTTCGTACTTATACTGCTTTTTATGTATTTTGTCCTGTATGTATTATGCACTATATTGTAAAAGGCCATGCTGGAGATGTATTTATGTTACGGGAAAGGTGGAGCGTTTCCATGGTGATGGAATATCCTGAAAAATAACTAATCCAATGAACACCATTGGAGTATTTGGGTTATAATCTAGAAACTGTGTGGAATATAAGATATATACAAGAACAAATCTGCAGTGATATGGAGCAGCTAGTGTGCGTAGCGTCAGTTATAAACGAAGTGCTTGGGAAAGACAAACTTCTTAACAGAGATAGTATTAATCGGCTTGGATGCCCTTAGTTATATGGAATAATGCAGATTTAACATAACAGGACTAGCCATGCAGTATATACCAAAACATAGCTGCTTATGATATGTTATGAGGTTATATAGATATTAATTCAGTTAGATGTGCAAGATACACTGATGCAGTATAAGACACATACAACCGTAACATACAAACAAGTTTCTCAACAAGACTTACATAACGGTAATTGTTTATCGCAGATCACTCACTGAAAACACGTTTCCATTTGTCAAAAACACGGTCAAAACTGGCTATGTGTTTGACATGTGGAAACCAGAAGCCACTGCAATGATATGGTGAACAATTGTATCACGTGCAATTTTATAATTCTCCCATAACAAACAGTAAATGTTTTTGATTAAGTAGCACAGAGTACTAGTTTAAGTGTAGGCACTATTCAAGCAAAATTATGACTATCATAGTTTTGCAATATGTTATAGTTATACTGTCAAAAACATTTGTATTATCTTACAAAGTTATGGGAGAACACAAGTTATAGTATCTAGCAGTTAAAGACGGGAGTGTGAGCACAATTCATTTATAATGTAATTTTGCCTCCCGTTTTCTTACAAAACATTTAAGCATACAACACAATTTACAACATATACCAGTTTATAATCATGCAGAAATAATATAAAAACGATTTGTCATCAAATCAATTTAGGATTCGAATATTAAAAATAAAATATACATACTAAAATATATTAAGACATACAAAATTAAGTGATTTTATTTTTCCAAATGAATCAATGAATCTTGAAGATTGGAATCAGACTTTTTCTGAACTTTACGATGTAAATTACATTTTATATTCAACAATGTGTGGTTTTAATCGACAATAAATGACTAAAAAGTCCTTGTATTAGACCAGTTAAATTTGGCTTTGGTAAAATAAATGAAAATAAAACACCAACCGCGGCTTTGGATGAATCCAGGTGCATTGACTTCCGGTTGATTCCAAGGATTGGGCGCGGACTGCATAGTATTAGCGCCAACGGCCATATCTGGTACGTGCGAAAAGGACCCTAAACGAAAACAGACAGAAGACGTCATATCATAGAGTTTCGTAAGTTTAGTTTTGTTGAAATTCAACAATTGATATAATTACCGTAAAACCTTATTTCTATCAGAGATGCATTTGGATTTTCTAAACAGTGATGAGACTTGAATAACGCACTTTCGCGTAGACATATTTTCTTCAGTGCATGGGTAGTATGAAATAATAGTATTGACATTGATGCAATATTATGTGTATAATACTAGCTAAAGTTTGCTAGTTGTATTTACTCATTTATAATAATCGTATTACACTCGAGCAATTAAAAAAATACGTTAACATTTCAATTATTTCTGATGTACCACATTACATATATTGAAATTTGTGTCACTGTAAACAATTTTCAGAGACGAGACCTTTGCATAATATTTTTTCATTTATGTTTTTCAGAAAATTTCATTGATATCTTGAAAGTCATTGCTATCACTTTAAGCTGACAGTGCAAGTTAAAAAGCTTTCAATTGAGATTTACAAAAATGACGGTTTGACAGGTAATGCGCTTTGTATACCCAGCGAGATCCATACTCGTTACCAAGCAAGAAGAAACGATACTTCTAAATGGTACTGACCAACTTCAACAATTTGAAGATAGCTTTGCCGGAAAATGTGGAGAAGATCTCAAAACTAGTTTTTTTCTTTAATTTTCAACTAATGGAAGGTTTATCTGGCAGAACTAAGGTATTGAAGCTACTAAAAGCTTGTAAAATACGTTATTTGACTCATTTAAATAGTCACTAAAACATGTTACTTTTAACACTGAATCGCCTATTGACTCATATTCTTGATACTTCAGGTGTTGCGCTCACTTTCGCTCCCTGCAACCCTGGAATATGCGATGGAAAAGTGGAAGACTCAGTGTGCACCATTAGAAGGGAAGGCTAGTTTGATTCTTTGATGCACATACAAAAGAATAGCTCGGTCGCGTAACGGTAAAATTGACTGGCTTTGAAGTAGATTGTTGCTCCTATGTAATCCTCAAAGGACAGGTATAAGCCGAGCGATTGGTTAGGAATTCGTACCTGAGACCAAAAAATAACTAGCCATATGCCTTCAATTTTGCTTTGACTTATCCCAGGGACAAAGAGGGCGAAAGTGAGCGTAACCCCTGGATATCGAGGATGCTTCACTCATTGTCCTTAGCAACTGATGTAATTAAACGTTTTTAAACATATTTGCATAATCTACATAAACATTCTACGGTCATTCTGGTCACAAGCGCTTAGTTCATCATCACTAACGTGACTCTTGACATTTACTTTTATTGCACTGCCTTAATGAACATTGTCTGTGGACATTTGAAAATTTGCTTCTTTTTTACCTTGGGAATGATCCCTTGCTAGTGGCCCATTGTTCATTGCATGTAGAGGACGTCCTCTTGGGCCCAGTGACTTGTGTGATAACACAGCGTCTGCGCTTGATATGGCAACCGATTGACTATACGGGCTCATCATACCCGAGCCCTGACCTTGTGCAGATAGTGGTTGGTTAGGAGACAATTGACCTCTGTTAGGCATTATTCTTGACTGCTGCAGTCCCCTTTGTTGAGTATTTCTAGTCCCTCCGTTGAATCCTCCACGCGCACGGAGGGGCATGTCTTGTTGTTGGTAGTTAACATTCCGAAACTTACTGTACTGAGACAGAACATCTGAAAGGTTAACAATAAAACATATAATGTTTTGTTTTCTTCTTCTCAATCATATTTTAATCACACATTCCCCCCACTCATATACTTAGTATACGTGCTGGTCTTTATTTAATTAAATATAATACGTTATAATATATATCAAACATCATTATGTATGAAACGATTACTTAATCTTTAATTCTTTCATTAAAACAATGAATCCTTGTTAATAATTTTAAGGAAGAAATGACATATTTGAATATGAATGACATGGGATGTACAATATGACAATCTATCATTAATTAAGATGTCTGTTAAATTAGTGTCATCTTTAATGCTTTATCTGTCAGTGTTTCAGTATTTTTGTCAGGGTCTTTCATTTGTTTCCTTTTCCTATGAGATTTATAAAACGAGTCTTAGAATATATTTTGTAACGCGATCATGACGTTAGTTCTATTAACCTTTTATGAATGAAACGAATTTAAGTTTCTGTTTACCACATTATCAAGATATTGTTGTGACTATTGTATAAATACACACTTTTCGGAGTCTTCTTTAAGTATAAATATCAATCATCTTGACTTTTTTACCATGGTCGCCATCTCGACGTCATCATATTAGCTAATTTCATCATTGAAGTTGAAAGTATGTGTTTGCACTGCCTTATGAGTTGATGACGTCGAAGGGCGCAACAGGGGACTTTTTTATATGGTAAAATCAATTATTGCTTACAATTGTATTTGTCATTGTAATTCCTAACAACGACATATCATTATCAGACCATTACATTTAAGGTTGTCGTAAATCACAAGGAAAACAAAGTAATGATGTGAATTATCATGACTAGGACAAAGAAAGGCATTAACAGTTTCAAAACATGTTGGATTAATATTAAAACAAGACAATAATGATGTATAGCATTTTAAGCTACTGACGTGTCTATTTAAACCATAAGAGGTTAGGCATAAAATATATACACGAGTTCTTCATAACTGACCTTCGTGAGAGGTGTTGGCAAAACTAAAAATGACACATGCGTGATATACGTCCAAGCGAGGACATGACTGGTGTTGGAGAATTATTCAAATTATTTTTTAACAATGTTGTAAAGCATTATATCAGCAAGCTGTCAACAATAAGTCGTGTTAATATCTGTCAAGACGGTTCTAGTGATATAATTCACCTTGTACGAGTTGAAACGAAATCACTAGATGAATATCAATACGGTATTGTATATATCTATATACTACAGTATTAAAGACACGAAAAGAAACGATTTTCACCGGAACTAATACATTTATTCAAGTCTTTTTTGCTACGTTTCCATAGTTTAATATACAATTTTATATTCATTTCATATTCATTTTATTCATTTTGTTGCGTAATTATGGAAAGGGCAGCACGCTTTAGACAGACTTCATTCCGCCATCCATTGAATCACTTATGCGAATATGATAACATAAATTTACATGAATAAATATTAACATTTAATGCATGCACAATTTATTCAGACATACGGTCTTGTTTTGACAAGTATAAAACTAGATCTATTTTTGATAAACAAAAACAATGTGAAAAATTATGAAAGTAAAGCATAACTTCGGAAATCTTAAATATTTGTAAGTTTTAGAAAGTTTGTCGGTATATAAAGCAAAGTGGGTTTCTTTTTCGTTGATAGTTATTTGTTTGCATTTGAATTTGCCGTTGGCTAAATGGAATATAATACAAAATATATACCGGAATATTGTAGCTGCAGTTTAATTGTGCCTTTTCCGCCCTCAATGATGAGGGAGTTGAACATGACAGCGCATATAAGTCATCAGCAGAATACACATAGTAACAAAATGTGATGGGCGAAATTAACACTGGGCGAAAATTGATTTCATGGGCGAATGGTGAAAGTTTGACCGAGCGAAAATGTACAGTATCTTTCACTTACCTTGAAACAAAGGCGAAGCAAGCAAAAGACACAAAACGGGATACACATACACCGCCATGACGCACTAACTATGGAAACAAAAGAAGGTAGAATTAAAAACTGGAATTCGAAGTTAGAGACCTGAAAATTGCAGTTTTACAAGTATGATAGTCAAGTCAAAAACATATCTAAACATAGAAAAGGAACGTAAGTCAGGTACGAGTGCCGAGAACTTTTTGTCATGTTACTAAGATCCGAAATTTAAAACAAAATGTATAAAAAGTGCAATGAAATTTCTAATAGAAATATTGATACACTGATAACTTCATGTAGATGAATTATGTATTTATAGAAGTATAGTCTATGGTGAAAACGACAGCAAGTAACATGTAGATATTGATAAAAAAAAACTGGTAAAAATATACTATAATAGAAATGTTATTCCTTCAAATAAGAAGTGGTAAAGAAGAAAGTTAAGGTTCCCTAAATAGATCTGATATCAAAGTAAAAGAAAACATGACAAGAAAAATGAAATCATACTTATAATCAATATTTTTTTTAAAGAAATCAGTTTAAATCAAGTGATTCATCGGTTCCCTTTCCTTTCTATGAATATAAAACCATCGCTTTCAATGATGTTGTTCTCTCAAATGACCAAAATATAATGGAAAGTAACATTAATTATGTATATTTCCTTTTAGTAGAAATTTCAGCGAAAAATATATTAATAAATCCATTGGCAAAGCAAATCTCAAAAGAAAGCGATAATTATAGTGAAATGCAATCTAAATCACAAGGATTTTCATATGAACAAACAGTTAAACCTTTATACAAAATCAAAATGATACCGTGTTATTTGATATGTGATCTGCAGCGTTAGATATATTGGTGAAGCATTAATTGGAATGTATCACACGAAAGTTATTGCAAAAATACAAGACTTCTTTCAAAATATGTTTGAAACTGACTTATCTGTTAACGACGCTGTTCAGGAATTGTCTATGTTTATGTAATGGAAACTAAGCTAATATACGTAAATATTGTTGGTGTAGTGTGGTTTTCCAATAAGATATCCCAATGTGAACTTACATTTTACCTTTTGCAAGTATAGAAAAGAACATTTTAGCATAAATTTCTATATTTCTATTTTTCGATACGTTCTTAAGGTTTAAAAAATGTATCAATACTCTTATTGAATGAATGTCAGTTAATTTCGATCTTACCTTCCCAGGTGCGCCGATCTATCGAAGATGATTGTCGTTGGCCGACAAACAAGTGTATAACTGTATGAAGTCCCAGCTGTCAGCCCACAATGGTGTATCTATCATTCAGATGACACATTGCGTCATATTCACAGTACCTGGAGTCGTCACTCAATATCGTGCCCAGCTTTCACGTCTCCTGTTAGGGGCCTAATAGGGTGGTTTAAAAAAAAAAAAATTAAAAAAGATAATATTTAAATCTAACAATTGAATTTTAAATTTAATTGTATTTACAAATTAAATGATCCGAAGTAATACGTCATTAAACAATTAACCGGAGGTGTGTGCATGAGTAAGCTTTATGTAAGGACGTGCAATAATAATAAACTTCCATTTATTGTTTGATTTATCTAACCGACATTATGACGAAAAAATCCATTTCCTTAATAATGTCATCAGACATTGCATTAAATCAATACAGTAATTCCAGGGCGAATCATTTAAGGAATTCCGTAGCAGGAGTAAAAACATACTGTTTTCCTGTGAGGGTCCCTTTGTGAAAATTCTGGAATGCATATTCAAAATGTATATATATATGTGTGTGTAAACACACAGGTCCACACTGGAGAATCTCATTATATATGGTTGGTATTAATTGCGCTATAAATGAACCTGTCTATAAGCGCTTATTATTTCAAGGGTGGAAAAAATACACGGAAATGAACCGTTTAATTTTTATGCATTAAAAGTTCAACTTAACATTGAGCTAATAAATACTTATGTGAAAATAACTGAACATTTTCATTGGTATTAACATATGTTTAAATAGTCTTCATTAAAGCATTAAGTATGTAAAAATATACGTTTCATGATTCCGTAATTATAACGAAGGTAAAATTTGAATAAAGGATATTTTCATTTGACATTCTAATGAGCAGACGTAGCTTTGTCTATGTAATATGTGGTTGACGTTTGTTAATATATTTTTTAAGTCAGTCTGACCCCGAGCATGATATAAGTAATTAATCTAAAGAAAAACGCACTAACAATATTCTTCAATGTTATATAGGGCATCATAAGAGAGGTTCTTTTAAACACACTGGTAACTAATTATAAGTTTGATAAACATTTCATACCACCTGTATTTGTCCATTAAATAACACTAGATAATAAACTATATAACTTATCCTTGCTCAGGTAAAACACTGAAAAAATGCATTTATACTTGCCAATGTAATTACAATAAGATAAATATATCACTTATGCTTGAACAGGTAAATATTTCACCAATACTTACGCAGATAATTACATTAAGAAGTTTACGATGTCACTTATCCTTTCCCAGGAAAATATCACTTAAATTTGCTATGGTAATTACACTGAATAAATAGATCACTTAAATTTGCTAGGGTAATTACACTGAATAAATAGATCACTTAAATTTGCTAGGGTAATTACACTGAATAAATAGATCACTTAAATTTGCTAGGGTAATTACACTGAATAAATAGATCACTTAAATTTGCTAGGGTAATTACACTGAATAAATAGATCACTTAAATTTGCTAGGGTAATTACACTGAATAAATAGATCACTTAAATTTGCTAGGGTAATTACACTGAATAAATAGATCACTTAAATTTGCTAGGGTAATTACACTGAATAAATAGATCACTTAAATTTGCTAGGGTAATTACACTGAATAAATAGATCACTTAAATTTGCTAGGGTAATTACACTGAATAAATAGATCACTTAAATTTGCTAGGGTAATTACACTGAATAAATAGATCACTTACTCTTGCCCTGGTAATTACAATAAGAAGTATACGATATCACTTATCCTTGTCCAAGAAATGAAAATATCATATGTTGTTGCCTAGGTGTAACACTATAAATATGTCATTTATGCTTTCCATGTTATTACAATGAAATAAATATGTCATTTATGCTTGCCATGTTATTACAATGAAATAAATATGTCATTTATGCTTGCCATGTTATTACAATGAAATAAATATGTCATTTATGCTTGCCATGTTATTACAATGAAATAAATAGGTCACCCTTACTTGCCATGCTATTGCACTGACACAAATATATCACCTATCCTTGCCCAAGTTATTACATTGAAATAAATATGTCACCCGTACTTGCCAAAGTAATTACACTTAAAGTAATATGTCTATTATACTTGCCGGGTTATTACACTTTAATGTGTACGTTAGTAAAACTTGCCTTGGTAATCACACTGTAGTATATATGGCATCATATACTTTTATCCAGACAATTTCACAAAATACAAACTATATTACTGATTTTTACCCATGTAATTATATTGTTATGGATAAAATACATTACTTATTAAGGCAATTACACCGAAACAAATATGACGTCCCCAGGATATGACACTGATATAAATATGAAATCGTTATACTTGCCAAGGTTATTACACTTTAATACATTTGACTTTTCTTTCTCGCCAACGTTATTACACTGATATAAATATATCCCTTACAATTGCCGAGGTCATTACATTAAGACATATTTTATATTACCTATATATATACATACTTGCATTAGTAATGGTATTACATGTAGTATCTAAATGTGATACCATTTATATTTTAGTGTGATAAACTGGACAAGTATAGGTTATATAGCATATCACAGAAACTATCGGGACTTCTTGTTTGTCAAAAATCGTCAATGCGTATAATTAGTGTATATGTTCAACTGAAACAGGCATTGAAAAGGGGTACAATTTCTTCAATGTTCAGATCTGAATTAGATGATTAAGTTGGCAATTATACAAGATATATGTAAACGGCGAAGTCATAAGAAAGAAGAAAAAAAGAAAAAAAAACCTGAAAAAACAAAACGACCTATGTAGACTTTCTGAATATATTTCGTATAAACGCTGAAATATTATGTAGGAAAGCACAACTGCGGTCTCAGCCGATTTAAATTGACTCTACAACCTCAAGTCTGTACCATTATCAGTTTAGAATACGGGGCCTTACTATATATCTGATAAAACAAAGAAGTGTCCAAATAAATCAATCGACCAATTAATTTATTAATACACACGTACAATTAAATTTGATATTATCAATATGTCTTTTGATCCTATAAAACAACCGACGGGTAGGTGATACAATGTTGATTTCCATTACGAATACAAGATTTTCAAAGGGGGATTTTTGCTGAAATGTCCCGTCATTCTATATAAATGTTCTACGACGGAGGTACTGCTTAAAATTAATAGTCAGTTGCACTTCGTGCCGTATTTCAGCCCATCAGTGACTGACATGAACTGTCATGTGAATCTTCATCAAAAAGGTTTGAAGTCTATTATCTATATGGGGAATACATCACGCTTTCTGTCTATATTAGCTCATTATTCGATTACCCATCACGATGTTGAAACAACTACTGTTTGTAGGCAGTGTTTGAATCTACTTCATGTCGACTATAAAAGTCTTTGTTTGTCTGAGCTTGCCCTGTCATAGTTAATGGCTGGTTTTCAAAAGTCAGCGATTTTGTCTTACAACCGAATTGTCTATTTAAAATCGATTTCGTTGATTGGAGGGAAGAATTTAAATACGTAGAGAAAAAAACATCCCTTGGTGAATCAGCGGTAGGCAAATTATACTGCCCGTTTAACGGGAAGTGTGCAAATACAATCATCAGCAGTGATGGGCGTGAAGGGCGTTCTCGGTCAAATATTTGAATATTTTTCCTTTGATAGTCCTCATATGTTAATTAATTGAACTGGGATACGATTGTAAATAGATGTTTGTTTGTTACATACAGAGAACGTATAACGTCTTAAATGTTACACTAGAAAGGTAAAATTGACAGTTATACGATAGGATGTACTTAATCAAAGGCGTGTCATCAAATCAATATATGTGTGTCAGTCTTTCCCTAACCAGGAAGGGGGGAGGGCGGGGGGGGGAGTCTTCCTATCACTCAACTGTTAACCTTATATCCATTCAAATCTTTATAAGTGACATACAATCATGTAAATAGATTTTAAAAACTANAGGGGGGGGGGGGGGGGGGGGGGGATTACAAGGAAGGCAAGGGTAAGGTTTGCACACAGTGAAATCACATATCTAGCATCATACATAGCTCCTACTACAAAGTCGTTTGTGAAATTTCGATTTGGTCGGTTGAACCTAACATCTCTTCATACTTCATAGTTCACCATGATAATAATTCTGTCTTTGAGTTTTGGTTTCATTACCACTAGTTTTTAGTTAAATGGAAATTATATTGTTTTGGTAGCAGACGATTAACAAATGAAACTGACGTCAGGCACAATGTTTATTTCACACCCAATCGAAAACTGACATTGACATCTCTTGTCAAGACATGAAACAAACACTTGACAGTTTATAAGCACGGCCCACACAGAGATATATGACGTAAATAACAGGTTAAGAAAGTCGGACTTTTTTAGCACTCCGCTGCGTTAATTTGTATTAGGTCCGTGTGAAAATGAAAACCGAAGCGGTATAAGTGGTTCTGCAGCTCCATGATCAAAACACCTGTCATGTTATTAATAAACTACATTGCAGTTTGTTTACGTTCGTTATATGGGCGTCATTGTTTGCGCTCATCATTTCATGCAATCACATCATTTCGTCATATGCATGACCATACTTCGAACATGAACTCATTTTAACGAATCAAAATCGTACTTATATGGCTGACATGGCTAAATATCATATAAAATATAGAAATGGTATATGTCATTCTTGTATAATTTCCTATATTTTCAATAAAGATAGAGGGCCGCGGTGGCCAAGTGTTAAAGGCGTCTGACATCCTGCTACCACTAGCCCTCCACCACAAGGTCGCGTGTTCGAGACCTACGTGGGGCAGTCGCCAGGTATTGGCCGTTGGTCGGTGTTTTTTCTCCAGGAACTCCTGCTTTCCTGCACCACCAAAACCTGGCACGTCCTTAAATGATCATAGCTGTTAATAGGACGTAAAACACAAACAGACCAATACAATTAGTAGACTCAGTCCAAAACGGAGCTGTCATCCTCAGTGGATAGTTTGATGTGGAAGAAATGCTTAACATTTATATGTTTATAAAGAGACTCCCATACGAACAGGTTAGTCTTATCATTTCAAGGGACGAAACGGCACATACCTTAGCTATTTCAACAACATGCCTATTTGTCTTCACAAACATCTTGATTGGGTTTTTTTTATAATCATACGCATTATTATATATAAGAATGTAAATGATGCAGTTCATACCAGCATAACACTTTTCACTTAGTATGAATACTTCCTTGATAACTACTGCATATTTGTGTGCTTCCACATTGAAATTATATCGACAAAAAGTCATTTCCAAAATCGTTGTTATATTAACGATTCATGGAAGATGGAGTGCCAAATATCACACTATCAAACACAAAAGTCGTCATAACCAAACTTTAGCGACAGATTAAAGTATTTTGTTTGTTTGTTTGGTTTTTTACGTTCACACAACAGCCATGGTCAAGTGAGGACGGATGCCTTGAGAGAAACCGCCTAAAAGAGAAAGTAGATAGAAATTAAAGAAGACAGGAAAGAAAGAAAACAAAAAAATA